TGTTGCAGCCCAACTTCTTATACACATGCATTCAATATTGGCTTTTACGGCAGCCTCTATGTTGCTTGGAATACGCTTATTGTTATTTGTCAATATTGTGTTGTTATTTGTCATTATTTTGTGAAACATAAATAATGTTATTAAAATCCCAGTTATCAGACAAAAGATAATTTTGCCTTTTGCTTTCAACAGTTTGTCCTTTGATTGTATGTTTTTTTATCAGGAAATTCCGTGATGTCTAGAAAAATAGATCACTGTTTATCAATAAACAATGTAAATTGTATCAATAATTTGCCACATGAGAAAAATTAATATGAGAGGGGTTATCAAACTCATTAACTACACATTTATTCATTTATTTAGATATATTTAATGTTAAGTTTAGACGAGATATTTATTTAGTCATTTTGCGAAAAATAAGTAAATAATTAAATTTAATTAGCTAGAGAACATTAGGTACCAAATACCTGCCTAATTAGAAATTATAGGTACCTATACAATTTTGTCAACATGCTACCTACTTAAAAATAGACTCTCAAGGAAATGTATTTTTAAATGCAATTTTAATTAAGCATTATTAGTGGCGTCCTTAACTTTTGTCTGGAAGGATACCGACAAAAAAAAGCATTTCAAGTGGAAATTAATTGACGTAATTTTTCTGGTTTTGTGACAAATAATAAGCCTCCGTGATGGGTATGGGTATGGGTCAGTGTATCTTCGAGGCTCGACTCAAGGGCACAGCATGGTTATCGCAAATATCTTTGTTGTTGTATAAAACTAATAACCTGTTTCGATGGAATTAATGGTGCGATTTTCTCCTAAAATCATTATGGTTTCCGAAAAAAAGCTTTTCAATAACCTTGTTATTTTTATTGCATTTTAAAGGTCGATGATTCTACAATACATTCCAATCCAGGAGCAAAATATATAAATTTAATATCTACACCACAGTTTCTGGAGTATTGGCTAGACAAACCTTATTTTATGCAATTAATGTCCAAAGGTAAATTTATTATGTTATTATAATCCGCCATTATCTACTCATTTGAATATCTAGTAAGTTTTGAATGGTAGGTTCTCAATTATAATACGTGCAAGTGCAAGTTTAAAAGTAGATCTTTTTCAAGGAATCAGTAAAATTGAAGAATAGAGTTTGCACAAGACTGGGCCTGTCTTGGATTTGATTACAGAGATTTATAGGTACAGGGTGATCCAGTATAAAGTGAACACCCCCTACCTTTTCGCAAAAAATTTTTTTTTTGAAAAAATCAAGATAGCTATTTAGGGTATTTTGTTTCTAGGAATTTGAAAACGTTTTATGAAATTTAATTGGATTTTTCGTTAAAGCGCTGTGACGACAAAAGTAATTTTTTCTAATGGAATAACCTATATTTAAATCCATTTCTTAAACGCCCTTATTTTTCTCATTTCAAATATATATAGTTTGTTTATCTTTATTTTGGTAATTTGGAATATATTCTCACTAATCTCACTTAAGAATCTTAAGATTCAAATAGAAATAGCCGAAAAGGTATCAAGGTAAACCTAAATAATTTTACCTTTAATAAAACTACTGGTTATTATGTTTTATGATACCTTTTCGGCTATTTTTATGTGAATTTTGAAGTGAGAATATATCGGAAATTACTAAAATAAAGATAAACAAACTATATATTTGAAATGAGGAAAATGGGGGCGTTCAAAAAATTGATTTGAATATAGGTTATTCCATTTAAAAAAAATATTTTTGGCGTCACAGCGCTTTAACGAAAAATGTAATTAAATTTCAAAAAACGTTTTCAAATTCCTAGAAACAAAATACATTAAATGACTATCTTGATTTTTGCAAAAAAAAATTTTTTAGCGGAAAGGTAGGGGGTGTTCACTTTATACTGGATCACCCTGTACCTATATTATAGAACCGCAGCATGTTTTCGAAACTGGAGCTATGAGAGTTTATCGATACGATACGCTCGGGCGTTAGAATTGCAATTTACGCCCGCAAAGAAGTTCAATGAAATGTACTTTCATGCTTGGTAGCTTACAAAGATATTTCATGGAAAGGAAAAACTTTATGTTCTATTTTTGGATTACTAATGATACTGGCGGGCTTGTTATTTAATCCACATTACCATCAATCCAAATTATTTTATAATGGTTTATTTTTTAAAACAGTTTTAGCTAGTGTCTAGGTCATTTGATAACAATGTCGATAACCTAACTTTTCATCTGTCTATAGTCACGTGTATTGTTTTTGAAGCTTGCTGGTGACCATTAACGTTAATGCGCATTTGATGTTCATGCACACACTACTAAATTAATTGATTCTGAAAAGTAAATGAAATTTCTAGAATAACAAAGCGTGAAAGGGTTGGACATGAATAGATCGGAGCAAAAATTACAAAGTAGACTGAACTTCTAGACAAAACCTTCAAATGCATTACCTATCAGCATATTAAAGAAAGTATTTACAATGTAGCAATAGGAAAATTTTAAAAAATTGAAAGAAAAAGGCAAGAAATATCAACAGTAGATAAGTTCAAATAAAATATATAAAGAACCACAACCATAAGAGTACCTACGTACGTATATTCAGGGGCACTGAACATACTCGATGTTTCTGAGTGGTGGAACAGTGAGCTATTTATATTGAAGTGATTATTCCACTCATGTGTTAGAAATCCCATAAGACAAGTGACGATTTTCAGAATTACAGCGGAAATTCTCTTTTCCATTTGTTTAACTAGAGAGAATTACAGCGATAATTCTCCCATGTTATTGTATACATGGTTGTCATGCTAATTTTTGATACAAACAAACGGTTCCTGATAGCAACCATTTATTTGTATTGATTGTTAAGATGTTCAAATCGTTTAATACATATTTATTTCCATATTTTATGCATTCTCATACGTGAAATAATCTTCTAAATACCACTTGAGCTTTAAAATGAACCAGATAATTTTTCACTCATGCGTGTTTTCTCTACAAATTTCACTCGTCCTACGGACTCGTGAAATTATAGAAAACACGCATGAGTGAAAAATTATCGGTAATTTTGAAGCTCTCGTGGTATTATCCCCGAAAATTCTCACAAAAACAACTTGAAGGTGCAGAACGACAAATTTTTAAACTTCGAAAATTCCTTGCTTAATTCTTCCCCTCCCTGTATATAACATACAAGACGAATCGTTGGAAAACCGAAATCTACACATAAAGATATTTAACAGCAAAAAGATTAATAATTTAATCAATATTCTAATTGAGCCCAAAAAAAAAAACAGCAAATTAGATATCTATACAGGGTGTCCGGAATAAATTGAAGTAGATGAGGATTTTGGAAATAATTGAAGATACAGGGTGGACCAAATGAAAAAGTTGCGTAAACAACTGGCCTACAAATAATGTGGCATCAACTTCTTCGAACTCGGAATAGCAACGGATATACAAGACAAAAAGGACGTTCCGTAAAATCCTTTATATCTTGTTTATTATAAAAGATATACAATCAAGAAATTTCCAGGGTATGTGTAGTACTGGATGTAATTAATGTACAATATAAGGATTTTATAAAACGAATTTTTTTTTCTGCCCTCTATATCTGTTGCTATTCCGAGTTCAAGAAAGTTGATGACAGATTATTTGTAGGCACTTCATTGCGCAACTTATTCCTCATATGTTCCACCCTGTATCTTATACAATGATTTTCAAAATCCTCGTGTACATTAAGTTATTGTGGAGATTCAGTATACGTCAAGAATATTTTCATAATAAAATAGGTATGTAGATTGTAGATATTACTTTGTAATTGAATAAAAAAAAAGATGTAGATTTTACACCTCTTGAATCAAGGGATACTTCAAGTTTATATAATATATACATATTCAACAACGTCTTTAATAGAACCGCCTATTTTGGGTAAATCTATTTTATGGAAACTTAAGAAAACAAGCGCTCTGCGCTCAAATCCATATATTTTGCTATTATAACAAAAAAAAACATCCAAACGAATTTTCTCCAACATGATTCCCCAAACAACGACCATGCTTGTATCCTAGGAAAAATCGTTTTTCAACGATACATGAGGTCATAGAGAAATGCAGTTATTTATTATTCATTTGAGTTTTGCTTCTAATAATAGAAAACTTGCTTTGTTTCAAGTTTTTTTTATTAAAGAAACTGGGCATCTTGTCCTTTACATGATAGCATATTAACCTGTTCTCATCGTGAATCAAAAAAAAAAAGCAATGCAACTTTTATCGTATTTATGATATCATAAAAGATCGAATTTTGCCTGCCAAAAATAATAAACTTGAATAAAACATCAGATACATTTTGCCCGAAAAATTTGTTTTCAAATTGATCATATATTCGACAAAACTATTATTTCAACTAGAAAGTAGGTATTCATTCAACAAACATATAAAATATGCAGTTCATTTCAAATATTTACAATTGTTTGTTTCTTTTCCAACAAAGCAGGGTTTTGAGTTTGATTGCCCTACTTAGAGTAATTGAGAAGCAAGAGTTGTTGAGCACATTTCATTGGTTGGAGGTTTTCCGATGAGTCACAAATGGTGAATCATGTTCTTGATTTTCACGTTCACTCAATCAACTCTTGTTTTTCAAAACCCCAGAGCCAGGTTTTTAGTGCAACTAAACTTTTCCGCTAAACTTTAGATCTTCTATAATGGAGTATTTTGGAAAAACATTCCTTATGTCAATTTGGATAAACATTCCTTATGTCAATTCGGTTAAACATGAGAAAGTCTGTTGAAATGTTTAGTCCTCTTTTTTTCCATTAATTTTTTTCACTTCACAAGGACGGAAAGACCTCTAATTTTCAAGTTTATAATATCGTAGCTTCAAAAACAGTTAGTGCTACTTTCGAATGAAGTTATCCGATTTCTTCACTCAAAAATATATATCGATTAAAAACTTTGCCATTCGTAATTATTATTGTTCTGGAAAAAATAATAATTGAAAAACTCTTATTTTAGGTTACAAGAAGATTATCAAAGGAGTTACAGGAAAATTCAAATCTGGAGAACTAACAGCGATTATGGGTCCTTCGGGAGCTGGAAAAACGTCACTATTAAATATTTTGACTGGATATCAGTAAGTTAATGTTCTTGTTTTATAAATTATCAAATTGTTACTTAAGTTTTAACGTAGACGCATGGAAGCAACCTGTATTTGATTGTATGATACAAACTAAGCATTATAAAGTGTTAAGCATTATTGAGGATAAATTTGTCCTTAAAAAATTCTTCATTTAAACTTATTCTCATTGCTTTATTCTGCAAACCCATCTAAATTACTATGTAGCAATGATATTGTAATACCTATACACAGTGGCAAAACAGTAACCTGTAACTTTTTAAATACCTGGTATACGAAAAAGTGACCTTAAAGAAATTTTTGTTCAGAAAATAATTCCTCACATTTCTACCTGCATGAATTTTTTCTGTGAATTCTGGTTTGCTTGCTATCCAGACCAACTTTGTTGTTTTAAATGGTACACCCTGTATGTTATTGCATATTTAGATTCTATACTGAGAAAACTATGAATTTTTTGTAGTTTTCTGTAGGCCTTTTTTCATTCTTCCTTCCATATTTCTCTTCCACGTTGTACAAAATATCAAAGGTTCCAAAAAGCGAACTGAAAGTTTTAGATCTTTTGTTTCCAAACAATAATTTATTTGGTTTGTATTAGTTAATATATACCTTCAACTGGGGTGTTTTGATCAGGAGTGCACTGGGAAAAAATGTAGTACGGTACACGTTGATTAACTAAATTCCCGAATATTTATTTCAAAATACTGTACTAATTGAACAAACAGGAGTTGACAATGCTGACGCTTTCTATGACAATTCCTTTCACAACTTTTTTCTGGACTGGTCATGGACCGGTGTCATTGGGTGTTTTCTACCGAGGTAGAGGGTGCTTTAGTGTCTTAATGGTTACAATCTCCCCTCTTGGAATTTCCCTACATCCTCGGGAATACTCCAAGTCAATTTTTGATGTATGATCGCTACAAATACAAGTTGGAGCTTTACTGCGGCGTCTGGGTTGTCCATCCAATCTGGGCTCATCATCATTTTCATATTTTTTTTCGTTAGAACTCTCATTGTCATCAGCATGCAGTACATCTGTTTTTCTGAGGAATGGCCTCGTCACCTTCGGGTATATTATCAGTTTCAATAAGGCGTCTTCTCATAGGTCTTCCACGTAGGCGTATAGGTCGTACTTGTGTTGGAACTTCTCCTTTCCCCACATAAGGTGCCATAGCTAATGTATGTAATTTGATGGTGGGACCTTCAGTTGGCTCTATAGGTTTAACTTCAATTGTTGTTGGAGTGACAACCTTAGTAACTTTACATGGACCATTACGTCGTAGAGCAAATTTTGAAGTATAGGCATCTTTGGCTTTGCTAATTGGGTGTGTATCCATCATCACTCGATCTCCCAGCATAATGTTTTGATTTATCTTGGGACTTTTCATGGAGCTCTCTTACTTCTCTCAAGATTCTAGCAATATTTATCAAGTAAGGGGTAACTTGGGGAATGAAATTTTCACTTTCAGTGATAGATCTTATATCCCTTTGTACATCATCGGGTGTGCGAAGCTCTCGTCCAAATGTTAAGTAGGCTGGGGTAAATCCAGTACTGTCACATCTTGAGGTGTTCAGTGTTCATGGCAAAACGCACGGAAGGTAGTTTATTCTTCCATTGAGTGTGACAGCCTCCTACTAGAATTGATAGTTGGATTTTCAAGTCGCGGTTTTTCCGTTCCACGGGACTAGACTCGGCATGATACACAGGTATTAAGTGCTGATAAAAACCAAGACAATGTGCTACATACTGCATAGTTTCACTAACAAATTGCACTCCATTGTCGCAGGTAACCCTTCTGGGAACTCCATATCTGAGTATCACCTCATCAACCAGAGTTTGCGCACAAGCTTTGGCAGTAGCATGTGGGAGTGGAAATATTTCTATCCATCTGCTGGCAGTGTTTTCGATTATAAAGATCCATTTTTCACCAGTATCGGTTTCAGGAAGAGGTCCAAAGAGATCTATAGATATTACTTCAAATCGCTTGGCCATTGCAGGTGTTTGTATTAAACCAGCAGGTTTAAGTTTCTCACTTTATATCTCTGACATTAAATACAGCTGGACACATGTTCGGCAACACTTTTTCTCATTCCTGGCCAATGCCCAATAGTATCTGGAACGTGTTCATTGTGTGGTTTTATCAATACCATAATGACCAGCTCAGGGGGAATCGTGGTATTCTTCTAGAATTTCAGGAATCATGCTTTTCGGTACCATTAATTGTATTTCTCTTATCTCAGCTGGTGTGAGTAGTCGGCTTGCATATTCCAGAGGTCTTTCATCGGCTTTCTCCTCTTGGAGTAAAACTGCTCCTAAAAGCGTATGAACTACCATCAGTTCTGAGTATATAAGGCAATGTACTATCAGCCTGAAGTATGAGATTAGTTGTCAAAAGTTTTTTCATAAGGTCGAAAGAATCTTGTTCTTTCTTCTCCCATTTCCAAATAGCTTGCTTCTTGGTTAAGGAGGTTGAGGGCTTTGAAACTTCTGCAAATGAAGAAATGAATCACCAGAAACAAGAGCATGTTTGGACAAAGGACAAAAGCTCTTTCACATTTTTGGGAGGTGGTCTCTCCAGAATAGCGGTGATTTTAGAAGGATCTGGTTGGATTCCTTGGAGCGTAATTACGTGTCCCAAATACTTCACAGAGAAGCACACAAAATGGCATTTGGATCGATTAAGGTCAAAAACTCGTTGTAAATCAGAAAGGTGTTCTTGGTAAGTTCTGGATAATACAATCAAATCGTCTATATAAGCTAATATGGTCAAATCTTGAAGTCCGGATTTGAATCGATCAATGAGTCTTTCGAAGGTAGAGGGTGCATTTTTCATTCCAAATGGTATCCTCCTATAACGGAAAATTCCAAATGGGCAAATAAATGCTGTTTTATCTCGATCAGATTCGCGGACAGACACTTGATGGTATCCTGATTTTAAATCAAGAGTGGTTTGCTTTGTTTGTTTTGCAGTGTGTAATAGATCATCAGTCCTAGGAAGTGGGTATTTATCGGACACTGTTTTCTCATTTAGGCGTTATTAATTGACACAAAGGCGAATACTACCATCAGGTTTAGGTACTAGAACAACTGGAGCAGCATACGGGGATTCGCAGACTTCTACGATTCCATCTTTCAGAAGCTTATCCAGTTCTGGCCTCAATATGTTTTTGTTTTGTTCAGACATCCGATAAGGTAGTACAGAAATTGGAATATCATCAGTCAATTTTACTGTTTGTTCTGCATATGGTGTTGACTCATGACCGGATGTGAATAATTCAGCATATTGGTGCAGTAAGAATTCAATTTATTGCTTTTCCGGTTGGCTTGGTTGTACACTTTCATTTTCTCTCAATTGAGATGCATTCAGTTGTACAGAAAACATTGAGTAGATTCCGTTGTAGTTATTACATAATTAGTCTCATCTTTAAATAAATACGGAAATTGTGGAGTTTCAGCATAGTACCATTGTACCTGAGGAATGTTCATCACAATATTGGCACGTTGAATGAAGTCTAAACCAAGTAAAGTCCTATTATTGATATGTTCTGGAATGGCAACAAGTGATATTGAAATAATTTTATCATTCAGAATGATTTCATTATTGAAAACTAGAGAAGTTACAGTCCTCTCTATGCCATCTGCAAGTTTAATCAACAATTGTTGTTGAATATAAGGAGTATAATAATATGTATGTAGTACATATTTATTAAATTTTTTTTCTATGTTATTAAGTATGTACAAGTATTGAAATTTTCAATAACATGATATTTAATGTTACGAAATTTAGCTTCGTTTGTGTGAACAAAAATGATTGATTCGCGGTATATCATCTCCTCTGTAATTTAAAATGAATATATTTTTTTAAATTTCTAAATTGTTGTTATTCAAATCACTTCGAATAACTAAACTCTAGATTTTCAGCTATTTAATTTTAATTAATTTAAGTACCTAGGTACGTAGGTACTTCGAACAACTTTTAATTATAAAATTGCTATGCTACTGTGTTACATCTGTAGCAAATTAATAATCATTTGCTTCAGTTTTTTCAAGAACGTTCTTATTTTTGGCACAAATTTACTATAGGTACCTACTTCAAAAATATGACCCATCTTGAAAAGTTTTTGATGTTCTTGTAACTATTCTGTTCTATTTTTTTTTTGTAGGAAATCGGGTGTAGAAGGTGTAATCAAATGCAAAAACGGCAAGAAAACAAAAACAGGAGCTAGTCAATACAAAAAGGACTCTTGCTACATATTACAAGACGATCAGCTATTGCTCTATTTTTCCGTTTACGAAATCATGTTTTCCACTACGCAACTGAAAATTGACGGAATGTCTAGAGAAAAAATGGATTGTTTGGTAAGGAAATTTCATTATTTTACATGCTACATCGATAACGGTTTAAGTTCTAATGGCTATTCTCGAGAAATATTTTTTCATTGGTCACTGGGATTTAATTCTGTGAAAAGCGTAATTTTTTTCAGAAAATTCGAAGCACGTCAGCTTTAGTTTCAATATGCCAAGATTCTTGCGCTTTTTCACAGGACTATTTTCACTCTCGCGATACCTAGTCATCATCAGCGTCAGGTCAATCCACTTGTCCACCACTGGACAAGAGCTTATCTCAAACATTGCCATTCTATACTGTGAAATCAGTATAGAATGAAGTCCAGAACGAAATCTATCAATTAGTCTTTGAAATGTGAACGGAGCATTTTGTAATCCAAATGGCAGTCTAGTTGTTCACGTCTAAAGCGCGGAATTTTATTGTATTCGAGAAACCAAGACTTCTAGATAATTCCGAAATACGATGTCGTTTATAAATAGCACGTAGTAGTCAGTTTGAATCCAGTTTAAATTATAGAGTGTTGTTGCGTGATCGGTAGAGCAGTAGCGTTCATTGGCCAGCAAGATCATCAGATCTGAACCCCATGGAGTTTCCTTTATGAACCAATCCAAAAAAACTGAAGGATCTTTTCCAAAGAATAACATACGAGTCTTGTCATGCTATGAATCAAATTTACTCCATTTAGAATTCTTAAAAAAATGGTAAACATTTCCAGTAGGAATTTTTTCTATAATATTAATATGTATGTAGGTAGGTACGTTAAATATCACATTTAATGACCGTTTCAACAGCGTCCTAACAAATATAAATGAACAAGAATGAGGAGGTTTCACTCCTCAAATAAAATAACAAAATGTAGGAAAAAGCTAGGTTAACGAGCTTTTGTTTTTTTTTTCAATTATGCGTATTTATTTACAGAAATTATTTTTACTATGTATAGGTATAATTCAATAGTGACTCTCTTCATCCCATTTAAGGTTTAAAAAGACCCTGAAAATAGGGACTAAAAGAATACTTTTAGTCCCTAAACGCTTATAATGTGGTTTAGGTGCATACCTACTCATAAAATAATAATTGTATGTTGTTTTTTTTTTTTTTAAGATAGATGATATTTTGAGCACACTGGGCCTGTCCAAACTGAAAAATACTCTTTGTGGAAGTTTATCTGGAGGACAAAAAAAACGTCTTTCCATAGCCTTGGAAATGATTGACGATCCACAGATTCTGTTTTTGGACGAACCCACAACGTAAGTCAAATTTTAATTAGTTTTTTCATTTTGTTTACGGTTCAGAGACAAAGTAATTCCAGTGTGTATTATTTTCATCGACCTAAAAATTTGATGACAAATTAATGATTTTTTAATTTATAATGATTCGAATAACCTATTTGCCTTTAACAACAGCAAGTTTTTTTTATTGTAATCAAGACAAAATAGGGTCAGTTAAGTTAGCCTCCCCCCATAGAAAATTTCTAGATGAAAATTATCCCATGATTTTGCTCTCATTTTGCTCCATTTTGCTCCACTAATTTCGATTTTTGCTCCATTACAGTGGAGAGACTATGTGGCCTATTAGGTGGGAGGGCTGAATTAACGCTAGCCCCCTCCCAGTGAAAATTCTGAAATTTGATCATGCTCATTTTGTTCTCCGAGTTTTGCTCCATTTTGCTCCTCTATCGGCGAGTTTTGCTCATTTTGTTCTCCGAATTTTGCTCCATTTTGCTCCATTATCGGCGAGTTTTGCTCCATTACCAGGAATGACCTACAGAGCTCCAAAGAATCTCTTCTTGCCCCCCAGTGAAAATTTTGAAACTTTAAATTACTCATACCGAGTTTTGCTCCATTTTGCACCATAATCAGCTCGTTTTTCTCCATGGCGAGCCGTTTTCGGATGCCAGGCTTTGAGCGCTCAGCGCTTTCGAGTTAGTCCGAAGTACTTCGGCTACAATTTTACACATTCGAGTGAACAGAGTTTGGAGCTCTCACTTTCCTCGCCTGTTTCCCCTGATGCACCTGTTACTGATTTTCAAGCGTTCGAGTGCAAAGCGCATTGAGTATAATGGGCGTGAAATGCTCCAGGTGCTTCGCACACTGCACCCGAAAGCGGCTCTGGAATGAACTACACAGCTCCCAGGAAGTGAAAATTTTGGAGTTTCTATATGCGCATTTTGTTCTCCGAGTTTTGCTCCATTTTGCTCCATGATCGGCGAGTTTTGCTCCATTACCTGGAATGACCTACGAGCTTCTAAGAATCTCTCCTAGCCCTCCCATACCAGTGAAAATTTTGTTTGATCATATTCATTCTGCTCTCCGAGTTTCGCTCTGTTTTGCTCCATGATCGGTGAGTTCTGCTCCATTACCTGAGCTGCTTTCGGGTGCCACGCTTTGAGCACTCAGGTGCTCTGAAGCTACCTACTCTCATTTTCCTCGCCTCTTTTTCCTGATGCACCTGTAACTGATTTTCAAGCATTTGAGTGCAAAGCGCATTGAGTATAATAGCCGTATTATTTGTTGTCCTTGTCTAGTCAACAGGCTATTAAGTATATCTCAATAGTTTTGATAGGTTTGATAGGTTCATAAAATCTGTCGCTATGAGTCCTGTCGCATTGGCTTCCTCTCCCCCTTCAGACGTCGTCCGTCATGATCCGTGGTGTGGGCTTCAACAAAGGCGGAACACTCGTTCTCATGGAAACGCTGCTCCCCTGTTTCAAGAATAAGGACCCTAGAGGTCATTCCAGGTAATGGAGCAAAACTCGGAGAACAAAATGAGCATGATCAAATTTCTGAATTTTCACTGAGGGGGGGCTAGCGTTAATTCAGCCCCCCCATCTAATAGGCCACATAGTCTCTCCACTGTAATGGAGCATAAATCGAAATTAGTGGAGCAAAATGGAGCAAAATGAGAGCAAAATTATGGGATAATTTTCATCCAGAAATTTTCTATGGGGGGGGGGGGGGGCTAACTTAACTGACCCGACAAAATATTATTAAAAACAGGGGATATCTAAAAAAAAGATAATAAGAATCCATTATTGTATTAGCGTAATTCCTATAATAAGTTTATTTTTTAGTGGCTTAGACAGTAGTTCATCCAATCAATGCATTCAAATGCTGAAATCCTTAGCCCAACGAGGTCGTACGATTATTTGCACGATCCATCAGCCCAGTGCGTCCCTGTACGAGACTTTCAGTCAAGTTTACGTTATGGCCAAAGGAAAATGCGTTTACATGGGCGTACCGCAAAATACCGTACCTTATCTTGCTGCTCAGGGATTTGTGTGTCCGAAATATCATAATCCGGCGGATTTTTGTAAGTAGTAAATTCTATAAATTTTGTCTAGAATATCTTGAATTTTATTCAAGTTTTTAAATTATTTCAGTTACTTTGTCATTAAATGTTGAAACTTTGTTACAAAAAGCTATAAAAATCAATCACCATTATTTATATAGCACATGAAGACTTGAAAATTGATGTTTTTTTATGTTGTTAGGAAATTAACTGGTACTTATACCTATTCCAAAAATCAACAAAGTCCTAAAAAAATAAAATTCAAATTAATAATTATTATTATTATCTACAAATTAGGTAGGTACCTACTGTACTATAAAAAAAATTAATTGCCAGCTCGTTTTCATGAATGATTGTCATATAATTTAACTTGGTTGTTACAAAAACTGAGCAATGTATCTAATTCATTACCTACCATTATTAAGACAACAAAACAATTATTGGGAGTTTTCTTGCTAAAAGCTTTTAATATAAACCCATGTACATAACTACATTTTTTTTTTGGGTCAAATATCAAGGCATCCTGGTACTTTAATATCTACAATTAATTCGAAGATGACGTCCTAGTTTTAAGCAACTACCTAATTTATAAGATTTATTTTTATCGTGACGCACATTCGCAATCTTTATCTGATTCTGAATTAATTTGTTAAAAAAATATTTGACTTTTTCTTCGTATTTTTTGTCATAGAACTTAAAAGTTAGTTATGCTTTATTAACTGATTTTATCCAATTTTATTTTGAAACTTGAAACATTAGCTCTGTTTCAACCTTGTTTCAACAGACATAAGAACCGATCTAGAACGGTAATTTCCAGTCGATCAATTCATTTGTCAAGTAGGATAAACAAACGTTTTTCTCGGTGACCTAACTTCGAGGTAAGATTAAAATCAAGAAATATTATTATTTCATCAAAACATTATGACTTTTATTTGTTACCTGACTGGAATAAAATTGTTGTTTTTTTTTTAATGAACATTTATGTAAGTTTAAGTTCTACGAAATCCATATATATGCAATAGTAATATGATGAGTAAGTAATATAGACTAGAGAACCTTCACGGTTTCTTAATCTCTACAAGATTCGAGTTGCTTGTTGCTTGAGTCTGAGCATAGATGAACTTTGATAGGTATAAAATAAAATATCCTATTACATATTAAAAGTACCTATGCCATAAATGACAACACTTCAAATTCTACCTTTACCAGTTATATGGTAAAGGTGAAAAAGACATAACAGTCGACCCTCCTAAATCTTCATTATAAATTAATTTTCTGAACTGGCTTAATTTTGCGTTCAGATCTTTTAAAAGTCATGGTGTTTTGTAGAATAGATGAATTCTGATCTTGTGTCTCCCTTTCCTCAGTAACATCATCCTTTTTTTATTGTTAGATTCTTCTTATATGCAGGGACACTTTATCCGTTAGGACAATTAGGTCATGTCCTACGGGCCACTAGAGGATGGAAGGCCAACTGCTGGCCTTTAATTTTTTGTGATTTCTGGAGAATCAGACCTAATATAAAATATAAAAGCCCACTATATTAAAAACATCGATTTGTTTAGTAGCAGGACTAGCATATTTTTCCATACTCTTTAATTCTTATAATTCACACTGCACAAGCACATTTGATTTCGCCAGAGTGAACTGCCTGACGTCACGATACTCTGGCATCGCTCCGCTCGCTCCATTGAGCATCAATCCATAACACACCCTCAAGTCACCGAGCTGCGCTGACTTATCGTTGCGTCATAGCGCAGCGCGGGCACGTGGCAACGACTACAGCAGGAACCTGTTAGTGTTTGCGCTGCTTTGCCAAATTGTTAGTTTCTTTGAGCTTCTTCTGGAGCACCTAGGGACTTGAGCAGTGTCTTAAGGGTCCAGTGTACCACGAAGTCGTTACTGTTGTTGAGCTTGTAGGACATGCACAGTCAACGTGGTACGAATTTTTCCCAGAGTTGCAATGCAACCCTTTATGCATCTCTTCTTCGCTCATGGATTTGATCCCAAGCCATGCAGCTGTTCTTCCGAAGCACCCATCAGTACACTTTTAGTCTCCACCATCCATATGTGGTGATTGGTATTAGGCTGGGAACTCAATGCCATCATTTTCTTTTAGGACGTTCCTACCATATAGCATGTTTGGTGACCATTCTTGTACCATCATTGGCATCATTTGGTAGTACTTTTCTTTGATTTTTCCGGATACCACTTGGCAACATTTTTTGTCTTCATATTCTGGTTAGTAGCAGAGATGGGCATCTACGCGTAAACAAAGATTGTCTACGTCTCGTGTAAACAACGCGTAGACAATGTAAACTATGTAATCTATGTAGACAACGTGTAAAATATGTAGACAACGCGTAAAGTATACAATTTTTGACAGTTGGTTGGCCTTTAAGGTTATGTTTCTGTTTTTGCTTTGTTTTGTTTTTTGCTTTATAAAGTTAATTAAACTGCAGATGATGTCTAATTTGATACAATATAAATTTAATGCAATGCAAACTTTCAAAAAAATTACTCAAATTTCAAATTTTCTGTTGTCTACATTTTGAATTCGAATTCATGGTTATCATTGTCTACATAGTTTACAGTTTACATAGTCTACATGGAAAAAGTGGATGTAAACAATACGTAGACAACGATTAGACAAACCGCGTAAAGTAGATTTCATAGTCTACGGCACATCCTGGTTAGTAGTTTGAAATTGTCTGAATGATTTTATTTAACCCCATAAAAAAGAACAATCACTCATGAAAGGCCATACCAAATAATTGACCTAAGGGCCAGAGAAAGGTTAAAGCGTCACTGCTTATATGGTATTGCTAATATTCTCAATGTCTTCATCAGATTCTTCTTGTAGAGTAGTACTAGTGGTTTGCATGTCTTTATCTGTTACTTCTTGTATGATCGAGTGGATATTATTATTGGAATTTTGGACGGCTCCATCTATATCCTCTTCCAAAAGAATTGCAGGATCATTAATCGTGTCTATGGGTACTTGTGTGATTGCAATATGGTCAACGTGTCTACGTCATATACGACCATCATTCAGTTTTATTATAGTTATTTATGTATCAAGGGAATTATGCAGGTGTTAATACCCCAGGGCAACGTTTGTGTCCCTCGGGCCTCCGGCCCGAGGGACACCAATTGCCCGTGGGTATTAACTCCTGATAATTCCCGTGGTACATAGATAATTTTATATCCTACTGAATTTACTGTATTCTGTCTATTTTTATAAAGGAATAAGCCATAAATCAAAATTTCTATTTTTTGTCAAAGTGTTACCTATTCAAGGTAAAAGCGGGAGTTATGGAAATCCTTAACTCCCTTGGGAGTTATGATATTCTTAACCCCCTTCCTTAACTCCCTTGGGAGTTATGAAAATCCTTAACTCCCTTGGGAGTTAAGACCCTGTTTATGATTATCGTAACCAAGGTATTATATGGTTTTAATAGTTCAGTAGGATATAAAATAATGTAATAGCCCCTTTCTTTCTGCAATGTGACCATATTTTTATTTTGTATTTTTCTCCGCCGAAAAATGACGAACTCTAACCCTGTCGCCCATTTTAAATTTCCTAAAATTTTCTTCTCCAACTGTCGATTTCAAATTTTCTTTTCCTTGTAAAGTAGGTTTGATGAGATCAAGTTTCGTTCGGATCTCGTAATTCATTAATTTTACTCAAGGTGGAACAACTAAGAAAGAAGCTATCAGTTGTATTATTTCTTCAATAAGATTTGGATTTTTCAAACCGCTAACAAATTGTTGTCGATGGTGCACATCAACAGTAGAAGCATTATAGCTAAGATATTTGAACTCACAGTCGTTACATAACTTTTCAAGATCAGAAACGAAATCTGAAATATTTTCGTCTTCTCGTTGCAAGCGTTAGATCTCGCAATATTTTCCAATTCGTCTTGAAAAACATCTGTAAATGTTTCTTTAGGACTTGCAGTCACCTCCTATTTTTCCTCCAATATGTTTACATGCAGAATCTATTTCTGAGGTCTCAAGTTTTGTGGTACCTATTTATCCATTCTCTGCCAAAAATCGGGTGAACTTCTCCTGGTTGAAAGGGGGGAGGTGAATTTTGCTTAAAAACTCATCCCCCCTCAAATTACAGTTGACGTGTTTCAGGGATTTTTTCGAAAATTTTTCTACTCCGAGATAATAGGGGTGGGAAGTTTTCAAATTGACACCCTGTATAAATTAGCTGTAACTTCCCTTTCCATAACTTCCAAATTCATACTTGAATAACTAATGGGCTCTATATTTTCACCTGTATATGTTTTTAATGGTAGATATGTTTTATTTATATCTTTTCCAGGAAATTTATTAATAAAATCCTTATATGAAATCGAAGATACCGCAGCTCCAGTATCGTACTCCATTTCTAGCTGGATTCCATCTAAAGTTACTTTTACTAGATATTTCTTTGGTTTTTCAAAATTTTCTGGTAAATATATTGTATCAAGTGCATTAAGGTAATATAATTCATCTTCATTTTCTTTTTCCAAAAATTCTAATCATCAATTTAAATTTCTATAAGTTGAGGATGATTTTTTGGAACAGAAGAAGAATTCATGCATTCTTTAGCAATGTGTCCTGTTCTACCACATTTGTTACAGTTTAGATAAATTTTAACACAGCTATTTGCTAAATGAGAATTTTCACCACAGCGGTAGCAGGATTTTAACTTCTTGAACTCTTTCTGTTGTACTGATCGTAGTTCTACGCTAAGGAATAATGAAACTTGATAGACTTCAAAGTTTTCAATTTTCACTTCAATTTTTTCACTTTTGTTCTGTCCTTTAGAATATTTTAGTTTTTAAGTTATGCATTTTATGAATCTTAGATATCTTAATAAGATCTTCAATGTCTTTGAAGCCCTTAAAGCGTCTTCAGAATGTTCGTTTTCAGTCTCAGTACTCAGTAGGGCTAAATCAGCCGAGTGTTTAGGGTCTACAGTCTGAAATCTTGAAAAATTAGTTTTCATCAAATCCTTCGGAATTATCAAATTCTTCAACTTTGAATCTTTATACCTTTAGTCTCAAGTCAGGAGCCTTGCATACAACAATTCAAATTCTTTAGTATCTTCAGAATTTTTGTCTTTAAACAATTTATACCTATCACAAGCCACAAGCCTTAGAATCTTAATTCTACAGCGTTTTTGGAACCTTTATAAGGTTTGTTCCAACCCGTCAAAAAAACGTCCCAGGGCCGGTATTCTCGTTCCCGAAAACGCTCACCGCTTTTAAGTCGCTCGGCACTTCTAATGTAAATTTACATCAGAAGTGCCGAGCGACTGAAAAGCGGTGAGCGTTTTCGAGGACCAGAATACCGGCCCAGAACGGTTTCGGAACCACTCTGTATACAAATTTCGGTTTCTACGCAAAAATTTTAGGTTTTGCCCAGAATCCTGATCGCAATAAGTATTACGGTTTCTTGCTGGGTTGGAAGAAAGCTATATTCGCCTAGTGTTGAATCAGTATAGTATACGTACCAACTGTGGACTCGTCGGATCATGATGTGGAGAAATTTTATGATGAAGTCAAGGAATTGCTTAAATTGACTAAAAAACATGACGTCAACATAGTTATGGGTGACTTCAATGCTAAAATAGGAAAGGGTGAATTTGAGGAGTTAGTTGGATCAGATGGTCTTGAAGAAAGGAACGAAAGGGGTGATCGACTCTCACAATTCTGCCAGGAGGAAAGCATCCCAGAAAACAATTCCATATTCATATAACATGTAATGTACAGACCTTTCAACATAACACGTGACATATTACGCATATTCAGGGAACCTTCATAGTAAAGGCTGGTGTTCACACTATTTAGATTCTTCGGAGGTGCTAGGAATATCCCACAAAAAATTCAGTACATATGCTTGGAATGTTCTTGGAAAAAAACTAGAACTACATGTTCAGAATGCGTATCATGAATAAAACAATGTTCTCAAAATCACTTTAGGACACATATTCTTGGAACCTTTGCTTTTTTGCTATCTGGATTATAGCCAGGTAGTGACTGTAGTGAGATAGTTTCTTTGGAAAACACAAGTGTTTAACCAAAGCTCCATTTCGAGCTTGTCATGCTCTCGTCAGTCGTCAGAGCAATATAAGCGGTGGTAAGCACGCCAACTCAGAGAAACAGTTTTCAAAGAGATTCATACGACAAGAAAGATATATAGATCTTTAAGAGCGCATGGCTCCCTCTCTTCGAAATCCTACAAAGCAAAAGAAAAGAATATACCTATAATATTTTTAGTAGATTCTAAATAGATTAACGTTATTGTTTAATTGTGCAATCAAGATTTTTATTGAGTAGGTACCTACTTTAGATAATTAGGTGAATAATTCCACATAATACCCAATACTATCGATACCATTGAAGTAACCGATACCGATACGCAACATTATTATTTAAATATTGTTTTTGTCAAAAATAGTCTTTTATAAAATGAAAATAGCAAATATTACTTTTTTTAAAAAAATAAAGGTCCTATCTGTTGGTAGGTATCGCATAGGTATTGGTGCTTCTTATTTTTGTGCATTTTTTTCTGAACAACAAACTCAAAATAAACTACTCAGCAGAACTAAGTATATTCTTAATACTTGATGGAGATATTAGCTGAAATAACATGCTTTATGGTACATTATAATAATGTTCGTATGACAATATTCAAATTATGTTATATAAAGTAGGTTTTAAGCACAATCTTTCAGGTAGGTGCATAGAAGCAACATTCCTAATACATAAATAGAACGTTCAAAAATGAATATTTTAATCAAAACAATCAGAATATTCATTATACATTCCTTGATAAACATTCCAAAAAGCACTTTGAGGGAATATTCTGAGAATATGAATGTTCTTTAACTGTTATCTGGGATGAAAGTGACAAATACATGGTATCAACATCACCCTCGCCGACTCCATACCTGGAAGTCCCCAGCGGACCGTCCACACAATGTAGTGCGAAACGAAATACATTTCATCCTGATCAACCAAAGATTCAGCTCAACCATCAAGAGAGCCGTCACATATCCTGAGGCAGATATGCCTTCTGACCATGTACTGTTGGTGGCCGTCTTGAAAATCTCTCTGTCAAATCAAAGAAAACCAACCACACAGCGACGGGTGACGTTAGAAAAATTGAGGGACCCAATAATAAAATCTGAGATGTGTAATGAGATAAACACACAAATATAAACAATAACATCGAATATTGGAGAAGAGCGAACACAAGCCTGGACAATGATAATGGACATTGCAACAAACTCAATGCAAAACAGATTAGGATATGAGACAAAGAACAAAAAACAAAAATGGATGACGGATGTGAGTTTGTTGTAAATGGATGAACGTTGAAGGCACAAGAACAAAACAGACAGCAACATCTACAAGGATATTCAAAGACTCATAACATCAAAGATTAGAATAGCAAAGAACGAATGGCTTAAACGTGAATGCTCAGAGTTAGAGCAGCTGTAAAATCAACACTATCTCTTTAAAATGCACAAAAAACGGAAGGAGACTGCCGGCATATTATATAAAAAAATTAGACCAACTATAACAGTAAATAATAACAATCAGTCCTCGACAGCAAAGAGGAGAACAATGTTTGGGAAAGGTATATTGAAGAACTTTTTGATGACGATAGCCCAACAGCTGGTATCAATAACTCTCTAACCGGCCCATCGATCACTAAGGACGAGATTGAAAGTGCCATACGTCATTCAAAAAATAACAATGCGGCTGGCCCAGATGAAATCCCTTCAGGGATACTTAAACTCCTAGATGAAAGAGGCATATATCACAGCACTACATAAATTATTTAACTCTACTTATGAGACAGGTCACTATCCCAAACAGTGGTTGTGCTCTACTTTTATACCTCTGCCTAAGAAGATCAATGCAAGAAAATGTGAAGATCATAGACTTTTAAGCCTGGTGAGCCATACTTTGAAAATATTTCTTAAAATCATACCTTTATATCAGAAAATTTACAAGAAATGTGAAAGAGACATAAGCGACTCGCAATTTGGGTTCAGACAGGGGTTAGATACACGAAAAAGAGTAGTAAGACAGGGTTGCGTTCTGTCCCCCCTACTCTTCAATCTATACTCAGGACGCAGATGACGGCATCAAGACAGGTTGTCAACAACATACGTTACGCTGATGACACAATCATAATAGCAGACGGCAGGAAGCATTACAACGCCTTGTTGATAGAATAGTTATCGAACGCGAACAACTCGGCCTAAACATTACCATAAACAAAACGAGAGTAATGACAGCATTAACAGAACATGAAATGTACACATTGAGTGGCGGGAAAATCCAATAAATCGCAAAGTTTAGTTCAGCTACCTGGAAAGCTGGATAGCTGAAGATCTAGATCCCGACGTAGACAGTCCTAACTTGACATAACGGTATCGTTTTGTAAAACACTACATTTACTAGTTACGTATGGACTGGAGACATGGACAGTAAAGGCCAGTGTCATGAACCGACTAGAATCCTTTGAAACGTGGCTATTCAGAAGAATGCTAAAAATTTCGTGAACGGATCGTGTGTCCAATGAAGAAGTTCTAAATAGAATGAGAGAGATAGACTTGTTACAGATACTGAAAATAAGGAAAACTGCATACCTTGGTCATATCTTCAGAAATTCCAAGTATCGATTTCTAAAGCGAATTATGGAAGGAAAGATCGAGGGAAAGAGAGGCATCGGGAAGAAGAAGCATTCATGGATAAAAAACATAAGGGACTGGACAAACCTCGACGCCCATGCACTAATGGGCAGATTCTTGATTCTTCATTCTAAAATCTACAGTGTTTTTAGATCAGTATCTTTCCTCTAAGAAGACTTTTAGACCTTTGAAGTCCTTAGGCCCAATTAATGAGCCTCACGACTCTTCAAAGTCTTTACAATCTAGAAGGCTCTAAAATTCATCAGCCGAGTCTTCCAACGTCTTGGGTCTTATTCAACATATTTGAATTTATGTATTGAGTATTTAGAATATTTTATCTTCTATAAATGAAACATGTAATTATTGGTCTGCGCATAAAATTAATGAGTTCTCTGCAAATTAAAAGGAAAAACTTGTTACAAAATTTTGAAGTAAATTTCTTATTTGTTCCAATTTTCCAGTACTAGAAGTTACCAATGACGAATACGGAGATTGTGTGGATCGATTAGCAATAGCTGCCAAAGAAACGGATTGGACCAACAGTATTACTACCAAAAATGATGGTAAGTATTTTCATGCAAATATTATCTCTCTATAATAAGACTCGGTATAATGTTTTAGGTCAATATAAAGACAAAAAACTGGAAATTACCAGAGCCAACAGCTACTGTCCAGAAAATAGAAAGAGCCGCAAAACACCCTCAGAATGGAAAAGATTTCGAATTTTATTTAAAAAACAAATAGTTTACCACTATAGAGACTGGACGGTGGCAAAATTAAAAATCATAATTCACTTTCTGGTGGGCCTATTTTTGGGTATTACTTTCCAAAAGTCCGGCTACGACGCTTCCAAAACCATCCAGAACGTGTCGTTTTTTATCATAAGTATCGTTTATATTAGTTATACAGCCCTAATGCCTGCAGCTTTAAGATGTAAGTATGAATTTTCATAATACCTGAGAACAGTGACTTATTTATTTATTTATTTATTAGTTCCCCAGGAAATGCGAATAATTAAAAAAGAACATTTTAATCGATGGTACAAACTGGGCACGTTTTATGCAGCGTTTCTGGCTGCCGACATGCCGATGCAGGTGATTTTTGAAATACTTTTTCTCGGCTAGCTCACTAGAAACTGTTCCACGTATATGTATAAGTTATATTGTAATTAAATTTTCAGGTTCTATTCACAATGTCGTACACTGTCGGCTCTTATGTGATCAGCTCGCAACCAATGGAAGCCAGTAGATTTTTCATGGTACTGCTGGTACTAAGTTTAGTGGGCCTTGTCGCAGCCGGTATAGGCATTATGTATGGGGCTTTGGTAAATCCTGTGGTGAGATTCCGTTTATAGTTTATAAAATTTTAAATAACAAATTTTTTTCTAGAATGGTACATTTTTGGGAGCAATAACAACAGTAATCCAACTGAGCGTGGCCGGTTTCCTTTGTTTCTTCCCTCACATGAACGGCGTGCTCTATTTTGTCTCCAATTTCTCCTACATGGCCTTCTCCTTAGAGGGACTGCTACAAGCCGTGTACGGCTTCAACAGGGAGAGTTTAATTTGTCCAGAGGAAGAGGATTTTTGCTTGTACACGAACCCGAAAGCACTACTTGCTGAAATCGGAATGAATCAGGCGTCTTATTGGGTCGATGTAGGATGGGTCGTGGTCAATTTAATTGTGTTTAGGGCTTTGGCTTTTTGTAGTTTGAAGTTTAAAATTGGAAGTCTATGATTTCTGGAAATATTTTAATTTGATTTAAATTCAATAATTATCCTGTCAATGTCTTATGTTTCCACTGAAAATCAACCTGAGAATGGTGAACTGACTAAGTTAAGTTGATCAAAAGCTGATAAAAATGGAACTGTCCTATGCATTCAATAATACTTTTTCCTGGAACTTTGAGCATTCTATAGCAAATAGTTAATTTTTATTATATACTTAGTCCATTTCATTGTCGATATTAGTGTTAGATTTTTGTGTATGGGTATAATATGTTAGGTAGATACTGTGGTGTATGAAACAATTTCTTGCCTTTTTTAGTAATAAGTATTAATGAAACTCTTTGAATAGGTTCTATTTTAAGATGACAAATACATATTTTTTTAGTTTTATTTTTTTTTTGTTCAATTCAATCTTAAATTGCAATGGTATCCCTACTTTCATCTTTAAAATCATCATTTTAAAGGATTATGGAAAATGGGTCAATTATAAAGAAGCATTTTTCTTCATCGAGTCTTGTGACTTGCATGAAAAGTTTAAGGGGAATAAACTCTGTAGCTGAAACGACGTTTTCTTATTTTCATATTTTTACCAACACTCTCACACTCATTTCAAACTATGATATACAAAATGCAAATGCATCAAGAGTTAACAAAAAATGATGGTAATGGATCGCCGCGCACAAGTTTGTGAAACAATTAGGGATGCTCTAGACTCTAGATGAAAACAAGATATCAAGTTTCAGATAAATCCACTTGTATGTTATGGACAATATCTATTCGACAGCCCTTATCCTAACTTTTAATGCTTTGTGCACCACAGATCATTATAACCAAACTGTATATGCAATATTTGTCTGAAATAAGTTTTGCCCAATGGGTAGATTAGAAAAAGGAGTGCTATTGAATGACCAGCGAGGTCTGATTTAATTCCTTTGAGGCAGCTGTGCACCAATCATTGCGCATGGGTTAAGATGTCACTTCCGCTTTCACACTTCCGTCCCATTTCCCGAAATTTACCCTCTGTAAAAGATGTTCACATATCAAAAAGTTTTCCCACACAATCACAATGTTCGGAACATCTTTGGCAGCGCATTATACAGAAGTTTTTGTAGTATCTATATTTATTGCTTTTTCAGTTTCAGCATTGTGTAAAAAAATAGCGCCCTCCCTAGTATCACTGTTTAAGATGTTGATTGTTGGCGAGCGGTGTTCAATTTGTTACAGATTTTTACTAGAGTGGTTACAGTGGTGAGGTTCGTAATTGCTAAGGGTGGAAATACGTACCTACACAAATCCTCTGCATTTCGAATGGTTAATATATCTTTATTTATATAATGAGGTGAACAACATTCTTTACTCCAAGACTTGAGAGCTTATCTCTTAAAATAGTAACTTCAATTTCAAAAACATTTCATCAAGTTCTTTACTAAAGAGCTTTTCTCTTGAAATAGTAACTTCAATTTCAAAAATATTTCATCAAGTCCTTTATTTACCATCAATCGCTACTTTGCTATTATACTTTCCAAAAGTTTTACGATTTACTAGCATAAAATAATTCTAGCAGTGAATGCATATTACTAATAGGCAATGGATAAGTTATAGTTCAAATATTAAAAGTTTACAATTTAAGTCCACAAAAGTATTTACTAACTACAAGTATCCCTGTTTCCTTGCCATTGGACCTTAACGTTTAAAAATCCTTTATCAGATTTCATGTTACCTTGAAATTCATTGGTGTACTTATAGCCTCTGAGTCTGATTATTTTGTATATATCTGATGATTCAAAGGTAATTTCTCCATCGTTATTATTATTATTTTCTTGTCTTTTATAATAACGCCAGGTTCCAAAACACTGGTTGTTTCTGTAGCTGCAACAGAATCACCTTCGCATATCTCAAATTGCCCTGTACCTTCAAATAGGTATATCAATAGACAATTCAACAGAATTTTCTTTTGATAAAACTGTAGCTCGATGAAACTGTACATCCTTTAACTGAACTGGCGATGGCGTTTTTATTAATATGAGCGAGAGTTTCTTGAAAAAATACAGGTGACAGCATGTTGTTGACTTGATACGCTGATCTCCACGGATCTCCACCACCTTTAGCCCAGTATTGGGCTAAAGGTGTGTTCCAGGATGATTCTGGAAATGATGAGGATATCCATCTGAAACAAAAATTAAACTCATGGGAAGTATTTTTCTATGACTTCCTATCGCAAAAACATCTATTCTGTTGTATCATTTAAGAGCCAACTGATGCATAATCTTTCCTACGATTTTCCTATGAAACTTGTTTCCTCAAATTCAGAGAGGTTTATTTTAACGACAAGAAACTTGACCACTGGTCAAAAATTTGGTCCAATTTGCGATTAGGTCATCATATTTGGAATATCATTTCCATACCTACATAAGGTTTGTTCCAACCCGTCAGAAAACCGTCCTAGAACAGTTTGGGAACCACTCTGTATACGAATGTCGGTTTCTACGAAAAAATTTTAGGTTTTGCGCAAAATCCTGAAGGTAATATTACGGTTTTCTGCTGGGTTGGAACAAAGCTATATAATCATTTCCTCCTTCACCTCTTCCAAACTATTCCCTCAATCAATTTTACCACCTTGATCATGGCTTCCTTGGGTCCTGAAATCGTAACTGAATCTTTACCATTATGACACGCTGGATAAATTTCTGATGGACATTTGGACTTGGTTTCTTCTCATGTTAATCCCACAGCTGCCATTAGGCCAGGTTGTAAGTCACTGTCCAAGACTGTGCGACCTCTATGGTAAGCTGCAAGCATACTTTGTTCTTTCGTAAGAGTTCCATCAGCTGAAATTGGATTGAATTAAACTAGGATTTTTCAAAGAATTCACTCTCTTACTAGTTTCTCCTGCAGAGTGTCCGATGATGATATCAGGTTCAAGTTCGGATTAATCTGTTGTAGCGCCCGCCGCCCTAGTAACACTGTTTATGATGTTGATTGTTGGCGAGCGGTTTCCAATTTGTTACAGATTTTTACTAGAGTGGCTACAGTGGTAAGGTTCGTAATTGCTAAGGGTGGAAAAAAGTACACAAATCCTCTGCATTTTAAATGGTTTTAATATATCTTTATTTATATAATGAGGTGAACAACATTTTTTACTCCAAGACTTAAGAGCTTATCTCTTAAAATAGTAACTTCAATTTCAAAAACATTTCATCGTCCTTTACTTAAGAGCTTTTCTCTTGAAATAGTAACTTCAATTTCAAAAACATTTTATCAAGTGCTTTATTTATCATCAATCACTACTTTGCTATTATTCTCTTCAAAAGTTTTCACGATTTACTAGCATAAAATAATTCTAGCACTGAATGCATATTCATATTACTAATAAGCAATGCATAAGTTATAGTTCAAATATTTAAAGTTCACAATTTAAATCCACAAATTAAGTTCACAAATTTGTCCACAAAAGTATTTACCTTAGTATACAATGTTCAATTCTCTTCCTAGGGGTGTCTTTACTTGTCGTCGCGACGCGTAATTAAATTTACTACCCATCCCGAATGTATTGTTCGATTTCTGATAACTCTCTTCACTGGTTTTCACCATTTAAGAATTTTCCCACTCCGATTCAAGAATTTCCTATTATCGTAACATTGTTTAGAGTTAGATCGAAATTTACTGTTTTCTACATTTTCGGAAACTGACTTATTACTCGACTTTCAACTCAAGCTTCTAACTGACCGTTCTTACTGTCTTACTGATTTACTGACTTTTTCTTACGGCCTTTTAACCATAGCTTTTAACTGCATGGACATGTCCTTTTTATACGTTATTTTTACGTCATTTTTTTTAGCCTCGGGTCTCACGGTTTTATTTAGAAATTGTTTTCTTTGTGAATCTAAAAGCCGAAAAAATTTGCAGGTGTTCGTTTCTAAAAATTCGCGCCCAGATGCCGCCATAATAAATTATAAATCCGTTCAGAGACACTTTAAAATTTAATTTTTATTTTTCTCGGTACGAATATGTCCTACATGGTGGCAACATCAGAACACCAGGGGCCTTATTCTGTAAAGAACGAACCGTTCGATTCGGTAGAATTTCTTCGATTGTGACGTGATTTTCGGCATTTTCGGAATGGCTTCCGCGCTAGCAAACCGAAAATGACGTCACAATCGAAGAAATTCTACCGAATCGAACGGTTCGTTCTTTACAGAATAAGGCCCCAGGGCTGGAACTCTGTAACGGATAAGGATCGTTATCCCTATCGCTATTGCACTTGCTGTCTTCTTATTTCTTGTCGAAATCAATAGAGAGGAGACGTCAATATAGTTACAGAAAATATCTCTATTCGTTACAGAGTTCCAGCCCAGGGATCCTATACATACGTGTTACTTTATCTCTATTTAAATTTCTGTCTCAAAGGATGCCGCCCGCAATAAACTATGCTATCAAGGCAAAACGTTGAAAAGATCTAATTAATAAAATAATTTTTTCTACTGACGTTTCATAATAGCAACTTTTCGATTGTCATTTCAGTTTTGAAACGACATTCTTTTAGGCACTGAGTGCGTGAAAGTTACTTTTAGGCACTCAGTGCGTAAAAGTGACTTTTGAATGCGTAAAAGTGACTTATGAGTGCGTAAAAGTAATTTTTAAGCACTAGTGCCTAAAAGTGTCATTCATTATTCAGAAATAAAAAACACACTAAACACATATTTGAATTTTGTTTTGTATTTATTATGAATATTGAAAATGGAATTACTGAATTGAACGTTTGGGTTACTCAAAACAGAAGTTTGTGTTATTACCTACTTTCTAGGATTTTAATTATTGATGTCGAATTTTGAAAAGAAAATCGCATGAAAAGTGTCAGGTGTCAAGTAAAAGCAGGTAACAAAGATTTTGGGTGTAATCGACTTATTCACATGAAATAAAATTGTGTTTTTTTATTATAAAATGCCAGTAGAAAAAATCTTGTATACAATACGTTACGAAACGATGTCTTTTAGTCACTCGACGTGTTGTCCAACTCGGCTTTGCCTCGTTGGACAATTTTCACGTCGCGTGCCTAAAAGACGCTCATTTCGTAACTTATTGTATAAATAGCTATTGTAAGTAACTGACCTCGTCTTTTGTGAGTGTTCGGAATTCCGAAAAACTTGGAAAACAGTCGGAAAATCCGTTCAAGAACTGAAAAGTCAACATTTTCACGTGATGATATCCCTGGTCGTTAAATAGGTATATTGAGAAGCATGTAAAGTCTGTTTTTTTTTTTAAAGATAATTCCCCAAGTCAGAAATTTAGTAACTATGTTGGCAACACAAGCCTTTTCTACAAAAATTTGACCGATTGATAATTTTACATTGTATTGCCAACATAATGTCATTTTGACTTTTATCTTTAAAAAAAAAAACAGATTTGAACAAGTAATTTGTATTTTAATATTGTCGACTAAGGCTAGTGCAAAGTACCCCAATTGGGAAGAGCCCCTCTAGCTAAGCTTTCCTCTCAGTGCAAATTATCTTTATTGGAAAACGCCCTTCTGGGAGTATTGAACGCAGCAGACTAGGTTCAGTTCAAACTACCTTTATTGGGAAACGCCCTTCTGGACCTGTCTTAAACCCAGCTTCAGACTTCACTAGTCTTCAGTCACGCCAAGTGTACAGAGTGTACAGTCTACAAAGTGGCCTAAGTAGTACGTCCCTCCGTAGAAGACACGTCATTATGGTATAATTCCTAGGGCCGGTTTCTCAATAGCAAGTCACCCTCGGGTTAAGCATAACATAGCAACTGGACACGTGTATCCTGAAGTTAAAACTAACTCGGAGGTGACTCGCTATTGAGAAACCGGTCCCTAGGGTAATATAATTCTAATTCTATACTTATATTCAATACATATCTTATTGTACCTATACCAAGCGAGTTTCTATCTACCTGGACCCCACCTACGCCCCCAGGTCACGCTCCTGTTGTGACATCCTATGACGAAACGTATAGGGGAGTAGGGGTTGTGACAATATAGTTTTACTTCCTTCGGAAGTATTGTATTGACGTAAAAATCGACATTGAAATTTTTTCACATTTATACGTTTTATAGGTCCCTAGATTACGGAAATCATGTTTTCTCAATTCTGTTGGTATGTCTGTATGTCGGTCTGTTTGTCTGTCTCTCTGTGTCGGTATGTTATCGCTCTAGCTCAATAACAGCTCAACCTAGTAGAACGGTTTTTGGTATACACGTTGGACACCTACCGACAATGCCAAATACAGACGAAGTAACACATAGGGAGAATTCACACCAAAGCAATAAGCAACAAGCAACTAGCAACGCGCGATACGCAACGCGTTATCGTTTTCAAAAAGTAGACAATAAATAATGTATCTATTCATACCCAACCAACTCCGATATCACCCGATGGAATATCTGCGGGTGATGCGCGATTTTTATCGCCAGCAACATAGTCTGTCGATCGCTAGAGATACATGTTGCTTGGTCGTGTTTATTTTTCTTCAAAATGGAAGACAGGGGAACTGTAATTTTTGTGCAAATTATTGAAAAATGTATGGATTACACACCCCCAGATTATTCTAAACGCAAGTTACAAGTTACCGAAAAAGCTTTGAATTCAGTAGCTAGGGAAGAAAACATTTCAGGTAAGTAATCAAACCAAAAAAATAGTTTTTTTTTTTTATTGTTTATCCAACGGCAGTACCTATCTCAGTGATTTGGGTGTAGTTCACCGTTTTCGTTTTCCCGCTTCTGCAGATTTCTATTGCTAGTCGCTGTCAAAGTCTTATTGTATTGGTGTGAATTCAGAAGCAATACGATTTGTATGTTGCGTATCGCGTGTTGCTAGTTGCTAATTGCTTATTGCTTTGGTGTGAGTTCTTCCTTATATATTTAAATGAATGTATTCACGACGCCATACGACATGAAAGGGATACAACGACGCGGCTACAAGTTGCTTATCAACATTTTTATCCAGTCTTTGTTTTTTGGAGAACTGGCAACCAGTTTTTGTTAAGGTTCAGGCCCTCATCTTTTCTGTTGAAGTTGTTGTGTTGTTTCTGTATCTCTATGGCTTCTCTGTGGAGTCTGGTGTAAAAATGTTCGGTTCTATCCAATGCTTGAGTCTGGTCAGAACGAATGACATGGTTTGTTTGTGTAAGCACGTGTTCGGCGATTGCTGATCTATCTATTTGTCCCTGCTGACAGTTTTTTTTTGTGCTCTTTGACCCTGGTGTTGATAGAACGTTTGGTTGTTCCTACATAGGCGGATCCCAAGAGCAGGAAGTTCTATAGACACCAGCCGTGTCAAGAGGTGCCCTAGGATCCTTGTCCGATCTTAGACTTTGCTGAATTGTTCTTGTGGGCTTGTAGATAGGCTTAATGTTGTGTCTTTCTAGCGTTCGTCCTATGCGATTTGTGACATTTTTGATATAGGGAAGAAAGGCTCTCTCTGCCACCTGTGCTCGTTCCTTTGTTATTTGTGTGCTGTTGCTTTAGTCTTATGGCTCTATTTATCTCCTGCTTGGAGTACCCATTTCTTTCAAGTGCTGATTTTAGGTTTTGCATCTCGTCCTGAAGGTACCTACCTGGGTTTACAAATCCGGATTGCCCTGTCAGATAGAGTTTTAATGACTCCTCTCTTTTGCCTAGGATGGTGATTGGATTCCTTGTTGAAGTATCTGTCCGTATGCGTCGGCTTTCTATATACTCTGTGTCCCAGTTTACCTGAGGGTAATCTTTCTAAGAGGGCGTCAAGAAATGCAATTTTGTTGTCCTCAATTTCCATCGTTAACTGAGAACAATAGAACCCAGGATTTCTATTGAGTTTAGATGATTAAGGGAGTTTTCGAGCTCTGCCTCTCCATGGTTCCAAACAACAAATGTGTCATTTACATAGTGAAACCAACAAGTAGGTTTCTTTGTGGCCGTTCGCAGTGTCATTTGTTCGAAGTGTTCCATGTAGAAGCTAACGATGACCGGGCCGAGTGGACTCCCCATTGCGACTCCATCTGTCTGCTCAAAGAATTCATTTTGCAATTGAAAGTACGTAGTCGTGAAATAAGTTCTTCCTCCGGAAAAACATCTTTCAGATACTCTAAGACCTGATTCACTGGTACCTTAGTAAACAATGAGACGACATCAAAACTAACCAGAATGTCGTTTGGAGTGATGTCATTGATTTTTTTGATGAAATGAGATGTCTTTAACATAAGAGCTGGATTGGCCAATCCGTGGCTCAAGGAAGGTGGTGAGGTATTTGGCTATGCTGTATGTGGGCGAATCTAATGCACTTACAATGGACCTGAGTGGGTTGCCTGTTTTGTGAATCTTTGGAAGCCCATATATTCTAGGTAGTAAGTAAGGCCTCAGATATGATGAGTTTCCTTATGTTTTCCGGGTCCAACGGTAGTGCTCGGACGAGTTGATTGGTTTTTTGCAGTATAGAAGCAGTGGGATTGCATGTCAGGTTTCTGTAGGTGGGTGGAGGGGTCTAGCAGTTCGGAAATTTTTGATTCATAGTCAGTCACGTTCATGATTACCGTTGCGTTTCCTTTATCCGCAGGCAGGACTAGTATGTTCTTGTCTGTATTCAGGCTGCTAATAGCTTTCCTTTCCTCGTATATCAGGTTGCACTTTGGAGGTTTCGCAAATCGTAGACTTCTAGATGTTTCATTGCGTATTTCCTCCGCAGTGCTTTGAGGTAATGTGCGTATGCTGGCTATGATGTCTTCGAATGGCCGGTCTTTCCAAGGATCTTCTATCGATAAACCAAAGATTATCCAACAGCATGCACTGGAGTGACTGGAACAAAATTGACCGAATGACGTATGACGTGATGAAAACCACACTAGCGAAAACAATCAAGAAACTGGTAAACAAGTTTGAGTCTTTGAAACCAGTGAACACTGCGAAACCCACAGGCAATGATCAGTTGTCAACCTGACCCAACGCGTTCTGACCGATTCGGAACCTAGTGTTCTAAGAAAAGGAGGCAATTTTGCAATAACACCGAAAGACCTCCCATTCGAAGACATCATAGCAAATGTGGAAGCCAGCATACGCACATTACCTCAATCAAACCTCTGCGGAGGAAATACGCAATGGAACATCTAGGATTCTACGACTTGCGAAACCTCCAAAGTGCAACCTGACATACGAGGAAAGGAAAGCTATTAGCAGCCTGAATACAGGTTCATCTGCTCTTGGGATCTAAATTTTGATATTTAGGTATGATTTGCCGAGGGAACGAGGGAAGGCTTTTATCATTTTTTTTTAATTCATTTAGATTTTGCTGTACGTACCGTTAAACAGTGACAAATTTGTTTATTTACTTTTTATGAGGGAATGATTGGGTCTTAGCCTTTATTATCCTGTCGATTCTTAAGTAGATTTATTGACTTGGTTTGAATAACAACAAAATATTAATTAAAAAAACTACACGCCATTTTTTGGATCAAACTTTTATTACCCTGTTATTTATTAATTGGCATTATTAAATTAATTTTATAACAAAAATAATATCGACGGAAAGTACCTAGTAGACACAATTATTATTTTTACAAGATATGTATTAAAATTGATTTATGTTTTTTAAAAAATTATCTATTGAGCTAGGGTATTTATAAGATGTATTGACAATGGTCAGTTTTCAGTAAGATTAGTTATAGGTATTGTAAAACAACTGACAAATATTTGTTTAAATTTCATTTCTGTGGTAAGATTTCGAGGTAAGTTTTAAGCATTCTAATAATGAAAATAGCTAATTAAAATGTTCTTAAATTTCGCCAAACTGCTTATTATTTAGTTTTTTTCATAGCAAATTAATCTACTACACTGTGGACCAAATTAAAGTTTCACTCTTTTTCATTTTTATTTGGAGGGTTACAGTAGGCTGCTATGTTCTCGTCAAAAAGATTCAGAGAGAACCGGATTTTTCTAAAAAGTACAGGGTGTCAAGTTATAAAGTACCACAACCTGTAACTTTTCTAATTTTGATGTACCTACCTACATAAAAAAGTTACAGGCGGTGGTACTTTATAACTTGACACCCAGTACCTACCTCTATTTGCAGTTTAGTTATTTTATTTATTAACCAATTTCATTCATTCTCGGTACCGGATACAATGGTACCGGTGATAAAACAGACATTTTTGCACCAAAATTCAGACATCTCAATAAACAGTAAGATTTCTGCAAGAACAATGTCGCGTTTTATTAAATCCAACAATTGGCTTCCGAACAATCCAGATCTAAATCTGGTCAACTATTTTGTATTTCATTTTTTTTTTTAATAGAACATTTCTGAAACCTTTGCAATTTGAGAGCAGTTTAGGAAATAGCAGGTCCCTGTGGTAATCCAATTTTTGTCGCGTTGTTTTTGACAATAGTCCGGTAAATATGTTACATTACACTGAAGAGCAGGGCCAGATCATCTTGTGTCCCGTTTCTCAACTCAGTAACTATGTGATTTCATTTTGTGCGACCGGATTCGACCAATTTTCCACATTTAATTAAAAAAAAAAAGAATTAACACAGCAAAGGTGGAGTTTTCGCACTTATTTTGCTAGGAATATAGGATCATCAGGATTAGGCGTTAGGTTCGAACGTGTTATTATTGATTGTGTCCTATTATTTTTCTTTGCAAGCATCCCCATATTTCATGTAACTATTATTCAATCATACCAGGAAATCTACTCCACAATGGCCACTAAAACCAACGACGATATCGTTATCACCGGTATGTCTGGTCGTTTTCCAGAATCTGATTCCGTTGAACAATTCAAGCAAAACCTCTTGAACGGAGTGGACATGGTCACCGAAGACTCAAGAAGATGGCCAGTAGGTTTACATGGATTACCAGGAAGAAATGGGAAATTGAACGATTTATCCAAGTTTGACGCAATTTTTTTCGGCGTTCACGCCAAACAAGCTGATCAAATGGATCCGCAAGGCAAAATGTTATTGGAAGCTGTCTATGAAGCTATTATTGATGCAGGAAAGTACCTACTCATTCACATTTTTCAATATTTGTACGTGTATGTTCATTAAAATTTTACCAAACATCCTTTGCTTCCATCAATTGACCGTTTTGTGTTTTTTTTTTTTTAGGATTCAATCCAAACGATCTAAGAGGATCAAGAACCGGCGTATTTATCGGTGTCTCAGAAACAGAATCCCACGACTATTTCTGTGCACAAGAACCCGATGAAATGACCGGCCACGGAGTGCTGAGTTGTGCTAAAGCCATGCTACCAAACCGCATTTCGTACATTTTCGACTTCAAAGGCCCAAGTTACGCTATGGACACTGCATGCTCCAGTTCGCTTACCGCATTGGAAAATGCCGTGAATCGTATTAAGAGCGGCGAAATTGATGCTGCTATTGTGGGTGGTAGTAATTTGCTACTAAAACCTGCCTTGTCTTTGGAATTTCATAAGTATAAGCATTATGCGTTAATATTCAATTTGGCTTAGTTTGGTTTGTCCACATTGTAGGCTCGGTATGCTTTCGCCACAAGGGAAATGTAATGCGTTTGATGCAACGGGAGATGGATATGTACGTTCTGAAGCTGTAGCCGTTGTGTTTCTGCAAAAAGCAAATGTAGCAAGGAGGGTTTATGCTACGATTCTGGCTGCTAAGATAAATACGGATGGATATAAGGAAGAAGGTAGTTAACATTTTTATACTTGTGTTGAGGAAATGCTTTCCGGATTATCATGCCGTGGTCATAAGCGCAACTAGGCTTCAAATTTGAGGGGTGCTGCAGCACCATTTTTTTTTTTTTTTTTTTTGATGGGGTTTGATGGAAAGGAAATGTGACGCGTAAAAAAAAGTTGGTTTCACGAGGGTTTGTACTGTATCATTTGCCTTTTTTTCTGAAAAATAGGTTTTTTTATGTCTGAAATTTCAAACAAACATATAGTTCGTTGCATGGCATGAAGGTTTTTACTTACGTCATCGATGACGTCATAACTTAGAGAAAAAGTCAGGCCATGGAGCACCTTCGGAATTATTGTTTTGTTATACATTTTTTAACTTAGAATAGAGTTTATTTAGTTATCCGAAAATATATAAATAAATTTCTCTTTGAGTGATTTTTCACTGGAAAATTGTGAGATTTTTCTCTAATGAGCTCCTCACTTTCCTCTTTCTCCTGTGAAAGTTTCAAAATTTTCCTGTTGTCAGTTTTCTAGAAAAAAGTTAAAATGCAAGAGGTGAATTTTCCTTAATTTTGCCTAAATAAGTCAATTTTCTTTTAATTTTTCCTGGAGTGATTTATCACTGGAAAATTTCGAAATTTCCCTATAATTAGCTCCTCACTTTTCTCTTTTTCCTGGAAAATATTCAAAATTTTCCCTTTGCCAGTTTTCCAAAAAAAACTTTAAATGTGAAAGGGTGAATTTTCCTTAATTTTGCTTAAATAATTCAATTTTCCAGAATTTTTTCTCGAGTCATTTTTCACTAGAAAATTTTGAAATTTTCTTACATTGAGTTTCCCACTTTTTCTTCTTCTTCTGGCGCCAAAAGACAAACATTTAACAGGTATTTAACCGATCGCAGAGAAAATAGTATGTTTATTTCGGTGGAAAAGCACATTCTCGGCCTTCGGTGTTTGCCGGCCTCGGCTACGCCTCGTCCGTCAACTTACACCCTCGGCCGAGAATGTGTCACTTTTCCACCTAAATACACAATATACTATTTTTCAAAATTTTTCCTAAAGCGATTTTCCATTGGAAAATTTTGAAATTTTCTTATAATGAGCTCCTGACTTTCCTCTTTTTCCTCTTTTGCCAGTTTTCCAGAAAACAATTGAAATGTGAGAGGATGAATTTTCCTTAATTTTACTTGAAAAAGTCAATTTTCCAGAATTTTCCCTAGAGTTATTTCTCACTGAAAAATTTCGTAATTTTCCTATAATGAGCTCCTCACTTTCTTCTTTTTCTTGGAAAATTTTCAAAATTTTCCCTCTGCCAGTTTTCCAGAATAGTATATTGTGTATTTAGGTGGAAAAGTGACACATTCTCGGCCGACGGTGTAAGTTGGCAAACACCGAAAGCCGAGAATGTGCTTTTCCACCGAAATACACATACTATTTTTTCTGAGATCGGTTAAATATCTGTTAAAACGTTTGTCTTTTTGTTCCAATTATTCAGCAATACGAGAATAACTTTCCCGGCCTAGGTTGGAAAAGTGATTCTCGTATTGTTATTCATTGATTCCTTAGCAACTATTGAAACATAATTAAAATACCAGAATATTGGGTTTTGCGACCTGTCAACCGGTCAAAAATGCTGACATTTCTTGTCAATCTCAGAAAAAAAAATTAAAATGTAAGAGGGTGAGTTTTCCTTAATTTTGCTTAAATAAGTCAATTTTCCATAATTTTTTATGGAGTGATTTTTCATTCGAAAATTTTAAAATTTTTGCAATCATTTCTGTAATTTTCATAGTTTTTCGTAATATCCATAATTCTCGTAATTTTTCGTTATTCACGTAATTTTTCATAATTTCCATTTTTCGTAAATTCCGTAATTTTCTGTAATATTGAGAAAATTTCCGGAATTTAAAAACAATTCCTGTAATTTTGAATAATTTTTAAGTAATTCCTGCATTTTTGGAATAATTCCTGTAATTCCCCAATTTTTTGTAATTTCCGTTATTTTTCGTAATTTCTGCAATATTCGAATAATTTGGGTAATTTCAGAATATTTTTTGAAATTTTGAATTATGTATATAATTCCTATAGTTTTGAATTGATAATTTAAAAAATATAAGGATTGCAAAAATTTCGAAAAATTTACAAAAATTGAAATTAGTAGAAATTACAAAAATTTCAAAACTACAAAAAATTACTAGATTTTTAAAAAAATATGAGAATTATAAAAATTAAAAGAATTAAAAAAATCACGAAAATAATTTATTAAAGAATTACAAAAATTAAAAAATATTACAAACTACGAAAAAATAAAAAAATTACCGAATTTGCAAAGATTCCTCAAAAAATTAAGTACGGAAATCACAAAAATTAGGAAAATTATAAAAATTCCATTAAAAAATTACGGAAAATACGGGAATACGGAAAATATAGAATTAATAAAAATTAATTGAAAAATTATAAAAATTTCAAAAATTACAGGGATTGCGAAAAAATGAAAAAAAAAATCGGAAAAATTGCAAAAATCACGGGAATTTTGAAAAATTACGGAAAATAAGTACATTAAAAAACTAAGAGGAAAATTGAAAAACTACAAAAAAATCGGGTATTACAAAACCAATGAAAATAAGTTTTAAAAATACTGGAAATTCAAAAATTATGTGAAATTACAAAAATAATTGAAAAATTACGTAAAATACGAAAACTACAAAAAAATAACAAAAATCATTAAATCACTTTATAAAATTATTTACAGCAATTATTGAAAAATTAGGATGAAAATTGCAAAATTACGAAAAAAACCCGGAATGGAAATACTTATGTAACGGAAATAATTTTAAAAAATTGCGGGAATTTCAAAAACTACGTGAAATTGCAAAAATCATTGGCAAATTACGGAAATTACGGAAAAATTACAAAAATCAGGAGGATTACAAAAATTAGGAGAATTTCAAAAATTATGTAGAACTGCGAAAATCATGGGTAAATTGCGAGAATTAAATTTGTAAAAAATTAGGAGAATTAAAAAATTACGAAAAAAATCACGGGGATTTCAAAAATTATTAAAATTTCGAAAACATTGGAAAATAACGTATTACGAAAAAATAACAAAAATTATTACATCTGTGTATTTTTCCGTGTATTTATTAATGTAGTTCAGGGTGCCAACATTATTTTGTTTTTCATAATGCTGATTTATGATGCGTTTGAAGTTTTTCGGTTGTCACCCTGAACTACATGAATAAATACACGAAAAAATACACAGATGTAATACAGGCATAAGAATTGCAAAAATCACGGAAAATTTAGAAAGTTACGGAAACCACCATTATTAAAAACTAAAAAAGAGAATTATATTTGAGTATTACAAAAGCAATGGAAATTATTGGCAATTTCAAATATTACGTAGAACTACAAAAGTCATTGATAAAATACGTAAATTACAGGAATTACAAAAATGAAAAATAACGAATATTGCAAAAAATCACGGAAATTTCAAAAAAATACGGGAATTACAATTATTGAAAAATTAGGAGAATTATTATAAAATTACGAAAAAAATCACGGAAATTTCAATAATTATGTAAAATTACGAAAATTATTGGAAAATTACGTAATATGGAAAAATATTAACAAAAATCACAAAAATTTTAAAAAAATCACGGAAAATACATTAATTATTAAAAAAATTGAGAGAAGAATTATAAAATTAGAAAAAAAATCGAGTATTACGGAAAACAATGAAAATTATTGAAAAAAATTACGCGAATTTCAAAAATTACGTAGAATTGCAAAAAATCATTGGAAATTACGTTTTACGAAATAATAATAATAATCACGAGAATTTCAAAAATATCAGAAATTTCAAAAACTTACGGAAATTATCATTATTGAAAAATAAAATAAAGAAATTACGGGAATTAAAAAAATAACAGAAATCACGAAAATCATAAAAAATTACAGAAACTAGGAAAATCATAAAAAAAATTAGGACAATTAAATTAATTATAGGAATTGAAAAAATTATGGAAATTACGAAAAATTGAAAAAAAAAATATCGGAAATAACACAAAAATTAAGGAATTTGTTAATTAACGAAAATTAAGGGAATTGCAAAAATTGGAGAAATTACGAAAAATTTCGGGACTACCGAAAATAATTAAATTTTTAAAAAATTATGGAAATTAGAAAAGTTACAAAAATTACGAAAATTCTGGAAATAAATCACGGAAATTTATTAACGAATTGCAAAAATCGAAAAAACCTATGATGATTTTCAAAAAGTTAGAAAATAACAAGAATTACAAGAATCAGGAATTACAATTACAAAAATTATAAAGACCTTCGGAAAATTATAAAATTTCCAAAAACGTCCAAGAAATTTAAAAAATTACGACAATTGAAAATTGAATTGAAAATTACGAAAACTATCAAAGCTATATATAGAACTATAAAAAATTACGGGAATTACGAAAAAGTTACGGGAATTACGAGAATTAGAAATTAAAGTTACAAAAATTACAAAGGCTTTCGGGAAACGAAACAAATTTTGAAAAATGCCCAGAATAAATACGGAAATTACGGGAATTACCTACTAATTTTCGAAATATACAAGTACGTGGAATTAATAAAATAACGGAATTTTCTGAGAAACTACGGGAATTAAAAAATTACGAAAATTTGAAGAACAACAGGAATTGATAAAAAATTATAAGAATTATTTGAGAAATGATAGGAATTGGAAAATGTCTAAAGAAAAATTACGAGAATTACGAGTCTTCGAAAATTACAAATTTTGCTATAATGAGCTCTTTATTTTCTTCTTTTTCTGGAGAATTTTCACAATTTTCCTGCCAGTTTCCCAAAAAAAAATCAAAATGTGAGAGGGTGCATTTAGCCTAAAAAAGTCAATTTCCCAGAATTTTTCCTGGAGTGATATTTGACTGGAAAATTTTGAAATTTTTCTATAATGAGCTCCTCACTTTTCTTTTTCTTCTGGAAACATTTCACAATTTTCCTTTCGCCAGATTTCTAGAAAAAAATTAAAATGTAAGAGGATGAATTCTCCTTAATTTTGCTTAAAAGTTAGTTTTTCAAAATTTTTCCTGGAGTGATTTTTTACTGAAAAATTTTGAAATTTTCGTAAAATGAGCTTCTCATTTTCGTTTTATTACTGGAAAAATTTTCAAAATTTTCCCTTTGCCAGTTTTGCAGAAAAAAATTAAAATGTAAGAGGTGAATTTTCCTTAATTTTACTTGAAAAAGTCAATTTTTCAGAATTTTTCCTGGAGTGATTTTTTACTGGAAAATTTTGAATTTTCGTAAAATGAGCTCCTCTTTTTCTTCTTATTCCTGGAAAAATTTCAAAATTTTCTCTCTGCAAGTTTTCCAGAAAAAAATTAAAATGTAAGAGGGTGAATTTTTTTTAATTGCCTAAATAAGTCAATTTTTTAGAACATATTTGAGATTTCAGTCGTAAAAAAAAAGAATCACCCTTTGTCGTTTGTACATGATATTTAGGAACACCCTGTATAATATGCAGTTAATTAATTTGACTCTAATGATTTTTTAAGAGCCGGTATTTCAATGTCACCTGTCACCTTAAGATATAGAATAAACACAGACATTGACAACATTGTCTGACCTTGTTCGGTGACGTCATCCTAAATATAACATAAAAACCCTATACTTTAGGGTAAGTCTTGATTTTAAGGTAATATTGTAATACCCGCCCCGGTTGAAAAATTTTGTTCCATAACAGTAATAATTGCCAACGTTCTCTATGAATTAATCAACGACAAATACTTTTTTCTAAATTATGAGGTCATCGATGGCGTAAGTAAGTACCTACAAAAAGTACAAAAAAAAATTAAATTATTTGGTTGCACTAATTTTTTTTATAAGTGTTAGGTAGGGCTATGGTGGGATACCGAATAGGAGTGCTAATTTTTGCTTTAGGGGTGCTTAGCACCCCCCTAGTTGCGCCTATGGCCGTGGTGGTCTATCGGTACTTCCAACATCTACTGCGATAGGAATCCTTAAAGGCGATTGGTGTGTCTGTGTTTTTAGAATTTGTAGTATTTGGCAATTTCGTCTATGTTCATCGATTGTTTGGACGCATTGCTCTATTCAATTCCCAACCAGAATTTTTATTAACCATTGTCTAGGATGGTGATTCGATTATGTTGTTGTAGTTAAGATGTGTCGATTTTCTTTAATCTTTCTTTTAACTTTGAACTATCCTACATCTTTTATAGGTATCACCTTTCCATCTGGCACCGTACAAAACCAACTAATCAAAGACACCTTTGCCCAAATCAACGTGCACCCAAATGACGTTTTCTACGTAGAAGCTCATGGAACAGGCACCAAAGCTGGCGACCCACAAGAAGCACAATCTTTGGCGAACTTTTTTTGCCAAGACCGTCCAACACCGTTGCTTATTGGTTCTGTAAAATCGAATATGGGACACGCAGAAGCTGCTTCTGGAATAGCTGCATTAATTAAAATCCTAATAGCTATGGATAGTGGTGTTATCCCTGGCAATTTACATTTTGAAACTCCTATTGAGAATATTCTTGCATTGTCGAATGGCAGGATGAAGGCAAGAAACTTATTTATATTCCATCAAATTACTTATAATATTGCTTGTAGGTTTTAACTGAAAACACTTCCTGGAATGGAGGGATTATGGCAATGAATTCTTTTGGGTTTGGAGGTGCTAATGCTCACGTTGTTCTTCAATCCAATCCTAAACAAAAAATATTACCCTTAAACTCAACATTGCTTCGAGTGGTAGGAGTTTCTGGACGTACTGAAAGTGCAGTGAAATATTTTCTTAAACAAGTACACCAACATCGACATGATCAAGAGTTTTTAGCACTCGTTGATGAAATAAACTCCAAAAATATAAATGGACACTATTTTAGAGGCTACTCTTTGCTCAACCAGGAACCTATTGTTGAAGTAAGTCAAATTGGAGCAGATAAACGCCCAATATGCTTTATATATTCTGGCATGGGGTCTCAATGGCCAGAAATGGCAAAGGATTTAATAAAAATTCCGGTGTTTAAAGCTACATTAGAGAAATGCGCTAAAGTAATGGAGCCATATGGAATTGATTTAATGGATATGGTTGTCAATGGTGGTGCTGAGACATTCGATGATATTCTAAACTCATTTGTAGGCATAATGGCTATGCAAATTGCTTTAACTGAAATACTAAGAACAGTTGGAATTGAACCTGATATCATCATCGGACACTCTGCAGGAGAAACTAGTAAGAAAGTAAGTTCTTAAAAAAATCCTGGTTTAATTCAAATCAATTTCAGCTTGTGCCTATGCTGATAGAACTCTTACAATAGAACAAAGTATGCTTGCAGCATACTATAGAGGTCGCACAGTCTTGGACAGTGACTTACAACCTGGCCTAATGGCAGCTGTGGGATTAACATGGGAAGAAGCCAAGTCCAAATGTCCACCAGAAATTTATCCAGCGTGTCATAATGGTAAAGATTCAGTTACGATTTCAGGACCCAAGGAAGCCATGATCAAGGTAAAATTGATGCAGAGAATAGTCGAAATGAGCTATGTGCGTTTTTTTTTTTAGTTTATAACTCAACTTCAATCTGAAAATATATTTGCGAAAGAAGTAAATACTGGAGGTTTTGCCTTTCATTGTAAGCACATTGCTGGAGCAGGTCCAAGGTTACAAAGGGTCTTAGATGCAGTTATTCCAAATCCGAAACCTAGATCACAGAGGTATTTATTGCTTAGATTCTATAACAAGTTTGGAAGAGGTGAAGGAGGAAATGATTATATAGCTTTGTTCTAACCCACCAGGATTCTGCGCAATACCTATAATTTTTGCGTAGACACCAAAACTCGTATACAGAGTGGTTCCGAAAATATTCTGGGATGGGTTGAAACAAACCTTATATAGGTGTGGAAATATTGCATTTATGTTGACCTTATCGGAAATTTGACCAAATATTTGACCAGTAGTCAACAAGTTTCTAGTAAAAATAAATCTCTCTCAATTCTTGTTTCAGATGGATATCCTCATCATTTCCAGAATCATCCTGGAACACACCTTTAGCCCAATACTCTAGTTCAGCATATCAAGTCAACAACTTGCTGTCACCTGTACTTTTTCAAGAAACTCTCGCTCATATTCCCGAAAACGCCATCGCTATTGAAATAGCCCCTACAGGTCTACTACAAGCAATTTTACGAAGATCATTAGCTCCATCTGTCGTTAATATTCCTTTGATGAAAAAATTCCATCACGACAACGTTGAATTTTTTTTAATGGCTTTAGGAAAAATTTACAATGCTGGTGCTCAACCGCAGTTGAAGAAGTTGTACGATCCTGTTAGTTTTCCTGTAAGCAATGGAACACCTATGCTAAATTCTCTAATCGAATGGGATCATTCAGTTGAATGGACTGTGCCGAATTTAGCTACACTTGAGTCAAATCAAGGCTCAATAAAGATTGATATTAATTTGGATAAGGAGGCTGATCAGTATTTGATGGGACATACAATTGGTGGTAGAATACTATATCCTGCAGCTGGATATTTGATGCTTGTATGGAAATGTTTAGCAAAGCTTAATAATATAGACTACGAAAAAATGCCAATTCAGTTAAAGAATGTACAGTTTCATCGAGCTACAGTTTTATCAAAAGAAAATTCTGTTAAATTGTCCATTAATATATTTGAAGGTACAGGGCAATTTGAGATATGCGAAGGTGATTCTGTTGTAGCTACAGGAACAGTCAGTGTTTTGGAACCTGGCGTTATTATAAAACAAGAAGAAAATAATAATAATAACGATGGAGAAATTACCCTTGAATCAGCAGATATATACAAAATATTCAGACTCAGAGGCTATAAATACACCAATGAATTTCAAGGTATCATTAAATCTGATAAAGAATTTTTAAACGGTAAGCTCCAGTGGCAAGGAAACTGGGTTACTTTTATCGATACAATGCTTCAATTTTTATTTCTAAGCATAAACAGCACAGAGCTTCATTTGCCAACACAATTAGACAGCATTATCATTAAGCCTCAAGAGCATTTATCCATAATTGATAAAAGACATGAAGTTGACATCAATAGAAATCAATATCTACAAACAATAAGAGCTGGAGGTATTGAAATTAGAGATCTACAAATTCGACTAGCTTCAGAAAAGGTACAAGCTCAATTGCCAAAATTGGAAAAGTATTTATTTGTGCCTTTACGTAACAACTTTAAAGAAAAAGTTGATGCCCTTACCGTAATTTGTCAATTAGTTTTGGAAAATTCTCTTGCAGTCACTAACTTAAAAGTTACTGAATATTTAGGTAAAAAACTCGTTGAGGCTGCTATTGCTCCAACTATAGCTAGTATATTTGAAGCTGAACCTTTAATTTATACAGATGCAACTATAGTGACAAGTACTGAAGACAATACTATAACATCCAAAACTAAAATAATTACTAAAGATATTAGTAATAATCTTATTGATAATAATGCTCACGTTATTATTATTAACAATGCTTCAAAATCATTGTTAGTTAACGCTAAAAAATCTATTAAAGAAGGCGGTTTTGTCCTTGTGGAAGAATCTAGACAAATAAATAACGATACAATCTTTACCTCTTTAGACTTGGAAATTATAAGCATTCAATCTACTGAAAGCAAGTCATATATTCTTCTAAGAGTCTCTCAACAGGTAGCTCAAAATTCTTTAGTTGTTCAAGCAACAGAAAACTCATTTGCCTGGATTGATACTCTTAAAGAGGCTTTAAAAACCAACCTTAAAGTATATGTGTATTCTATCGGTGAACCTCAAATAGGCTTGATTGGAATGATTAATTGTCTAATTAAAGAAACAAGAAACGTACGTTCAATATGTATAGAGGATAAAAATGCACTGCCATTTACTGTTGAGGCCTATGAAAAACAATTAAAACTTGATTTGGTACATAATGTATTCAAAAATAATTCATGGGGCACTTATAGGCACTTACCTTTATTACATGATACTCATCAGCCAATGAAGCATGCTTTTATAACCACCCTCACCCGTGGGGACTTATCAAGCCTAAAATGGATCCAAAGACCTCCGACTTACCATAACAACGCCAACCAAATATGTAACGTACATTATTCATCTTTAAATTTCAAAGATATTATGCTAGCCACAGGAAAGCTTACCTTGGAAAACGAAACACTTGTCTTAGGCCTGGAATTTTCTGGAAAAGATTCCAACGGTCGTAGAATAATGGGTATTCTATCAACAAGTTGTTTAGCTACAACTGTACAAGTTGATACTGATGAAGGATTTATTTGGGAAGTTCCTGATAAATGGAGCCTTGAAGAAGCCGCAACCATTCCTATAGTTTACGGAACTTGTTATTATGCTCTTATAGTTAGAGGAAAAATGCTGCCAGGTGAATCAGTACTTGTTCATGCTGGTGCTGGAGGTGTCGGACAAGCCGCTATTGCAATAGCATTACATATGGGTTGCAAAGTGTTCACTACAGTTTCTACTGAAGAGAAAAGATCATTTTTAAAGAAAACTTTTCCAGCTTTAAGTGACGATTCTATTGGTAGCTCGCGTAACACTAGCTTTGAGCAAATGGTGCTTACTCAAACCAATGGGAAAGGAGTTGATTTAGTATTGAACTCGCTTGCTGGTGAATTTTTGCAGGCTTCAATCAGGTGTCTAGCTAAAGGTGGAAGGTTTTTAGAAATTGGAAAAGTTGATGTTGCCAACAATACCCCTTTAGGCATGAAAATCTTCTCATATGGCAGATCTTTTCATGGTGTTGCATTAGATCACTTATTAAATATATCGAAAACAGAAGAAGTTAAAAGACTTATGGACGAGGGTATCAAATCTGGTGCAGTCCAACCGCTTACACGAACAGTATTTAATGAAAATGAAGTTGAAAAAGCCTTCAGATTTATGAGCACTGGGAAACATATTGGCAAAATTTTAATTAAAATTAGGGATGAACTAACTGTTGGTGAAAAATGTGTCGATGCTATTACTTCTAGTTATATGGACCCCAAAAAAAGTTATATTGTTGTTGGAGGTCTTGGAGGGTTCGGTCTGGAGCTTGCCAAGTGGCTAGTGACAAGAGGAGCTAAGAATATCGTTCTAGTATCTACAAGAGGCATTACAACTGAGTACCAAGCATTTTGCATTAACCGATTGCGGAATTTATGTGTAAAAGTTATAATATCAACCATTGACGCGAGTACTGCAAAGGGAGCAAGACAACTTTTGAATGATGCTAATGAACTAGCTCCTGTTGGAGGAATTTTTAATTTAGCTATAGTACTGCAAGATGCTCTATTTGAAAATCAAACCATATCATCTTTTGAGGTTGCCTACAAGCCAAAAGCTAATATAAGTAAGCAGCTGGACGCTCTATCAAGAACATTAGCTCCTACTCTGGATTATTTTGTTAGTTTTTCTTCTTTTTCTTGCGGGCGGGGAAATGCAGGTCAAACAAATTATGGCTTAGCCAACTCTACAATTGAAAGGATTACAGAAGCTAGGCAAGAAGCTGGTTTGCCTGGATTAGCCATTCAATGGGGTCCAATTGGTGAAATTGGTATTCTTGGATCGAATGATGATAGCTTGCAAGGAGCTTTGCCCCAAAAGTAAGTTATATTGCCAGAAACCATACAATTTAGCTTTATTGGTAATTTTTTCAGAATGACCTCTTGTCTCGAAACATTGGACTATTTCCTCTCACAGCCCCATCCTGTGGTAGCCAGTATGGTAGTAGCAGACAAAAACTTCATTCAAAAATCAGCGCAAAAAAGCTTGACAGATGTTGTGGCTAATATATTAGGCATTAAGGATTTGAGTACTGTACCTTTTATACGTACATTAGTTGACTTGGGTATAGATTCACTTATGGGCACTGAAATTAAACAAACTCTGGAAAGAAATTTCGATTTGACGCTTAGTATTCCGGAGATTAGAGCATTGACGTTCGGAAGGTTACGGGAACTTAGTGAAGGTGGCATTCATACACCTCAAAAACAAGTAGTTATGGATAATGTTGAGCAAATATTACCGAGCCAAACGCTAATAAAATTTAATACCCAAGAAAATGGTAATCATGGAGGGAAAAGTCCAATATTTATGATTCATCCTATGGAAGGAACTGCTGATTGCTTCAAGACTTTGGCAGAACATATTGATGCTCCTGTGTATGGTTTGCAATGCACCAGAAATGCTCCACTAGATAGCATTAGTAGTTTGGCTCAGTTTTACATTATTCAGATTCAAAATGTACAACCAAAAGGACCATATAATTTGGTATGTTTTATTTCAAGTCAAGCTATCAAAATTAATTCATAACTTAGCCTTGTACAGCAAGATTAAGCTTTCAGAATATTTACAGAAGAAAAAAAGCTGTGCAAAGCTTATATTGGATCAATAACTGACATTGTCATTTTCATTTTTAGATGGGTTATTCCTATGGCACTTTGGTACTGATCGAAATGGGACTTATTTTAGAAAAACAGGGAAAAAAGTCCAGACTTTTATTTTTGGACGGTTCTCCCAACTATATGGCAACTCAATCACGAATCATGACGTCAGGAGGCAAACTTGATTTACAGAACATTACTTTGTGCGTTTTTATGCAACGATTTGGGAGCAAATTTGATCAAAAATCGGTAAAAACCTTTTTAGTACCCATATTATATGGTAATAATATTTGATTAATTTTCTATAGATTCTGCAGCAACTATCCACTCATAAAACTTTAACAGAAAAAACATTAAGAGTAGCGATGCTCCTTGAGGAATCCACAACTTTTGATAAACAAGATATTATCGAGGCTGCAAGATTTTGCGTGCAACGAATCATCATTGGCGATGAATACCAACCTGGAGAAATATTCAATGGACCTGTAATGTTGGTTAAAGCTAAAAAGAGTATTGTAACACAAATTGATGTTGATTATGGACTATCAAAGGTAACACATACATTTTTTTTGTTCTCAGTCAAAAATTATCATTATCATATTTTTAGATCTGCAGCTTCAAACCATTGCTCATAGAGTATTTGGATGGCGACCATGGAAACATTCTTCTTGAGCAAAAAACTGTTGAAAAATTTGCAGATATTTTGAACCAATTTTTTAGTTAATAAGATTATTATGAGGCACAGTACATTTTCACGATATTAGTTTTTTTTTCCGCTTTCAACAGTTAAGAGTTGCGTAAGTGATATTTAGTACTGAAGTTTAACTCCCTAATACAGCTATATTTTAAGTACATAAAAATCTTGTACGAATTATATTTTTCGTTCAGTAAATCTTGTTTTTAAAAACTATTTATTTTATTCAAAACTAAGAAGTTACAACAAAAAATACTAGATTCTAAATTGCTGCGGCGAAAGCCGAGAACAAAAGAATCTTTGATTCTAATTGCTATAGTCTCAGCTACAATATGAGGAGAGAAGGCTCTGCGCGCCGTATTTATATTAAAATACTGCTGACGGTTGCAATCATGTGGGTGAAACCTTGATATGTCGGTACTTTTCCAGGCAGTATCGCTTACTCAGCATCTTTAAAATATCGTGAGCTTTTACAGTGGCGTATTTTTATATTTAACATTGAAATGGAGAATTATTAGTATAATAATAATATTAGGTTTTATAATATAACCCCTTCCTCCTTATGTGGTTGCAAATTAGGATTGACTAACAATGTTGGGCAATTCAATCTGCACCTCAGTTTTAGTTTTACTACATTTTCCTTTAAATTATAGAATAAGAATAATTGTTATAAAAATAGAACTTAATACTATGATTATAATATAGGTTGACACATTATTAGTTTCAAAATTTAACTCTTTTAATGGGTCAGTCTTTAATTTGTTTGCTTCTTTAATCGCTGAGCTTCATGATCGACTGCTTTTAGTCTTACAGTTCTGGTATTCTCTAGAAGTTCAGGAATGTCGATGATGGGTAGCTCAAGTTCTAGGTTGAAGTTCTCATGCGTGTCTTCCAAAAATGTTCGATTGTTAATAGTTATTGAACATTTAGGTACCTTTGGAAATTACGATTGAACTGAAAATGATTTCTTCTGGTCACATTGCAGCATTGTTGTCACATGTCGTTTTGGAATAACCAATATTTGATTACGAAATATTTTTTCAACTGTCGATTCTTTATATTGAATTTTCGTAAATGGGCATAATTGTTGTTCACTAGATACAATATCTTGAACACAGGGCTCATCTCGCTTCAATAGTTCTATTTTGCACAAATAAATGTCTTCAATATTTGGACATTTTTATAAAGCATTGTAATACGCGTCTGTGATAAGTCAGAGGTAAGGATACTTAACACCAATTGTATAATTTTGGATGAATATAGGAAATAATTTATATAATATAAAAGGTTTAGGAATAATTATTGGTGTGAATATAGTAAATATAATTAGTTCTTTTTGAATTATTACATGAGAGGACATTCAGGCCTATGATGTATCCTGTCCTGTTATTTTAACGGTTGTGTTAAGGCTTAACATCTATTTCCGTCTCTATTTTGACGTATAGAATAAATAGTGACAGATAACTTAACGCTGCTGTTAAAATAACAGAAAATGATACATCATAGGCCTGATTGTCTCATAATATTTAATTACGTTGTCAAACAGTATTTGTTGACTGGTGGGTATGTTTTTCAAGATCAAGTTCAATTCATTATGCTGCAGTATCGTATAGTGCATTATGTTTGCGCGTGCAAAACTAATTGCGTTTTGAATGTGGATAATTAACTCGTGTAATTTACTGCTGTGCATATTAATGTTTTCTAAAATTAGATTCATCATCAAGATAGTTTGAATATTTTGATTATCCGTCGAAATATTTCCTATCTCATCTGAAATTAATATTATTATTTTCGATATTTGGAAATTGATCATGAAATGTTTTCGTAACTTGTTTAAGTACGTTTGTTTGATCTTTTAGATTTTTATAGATAGTTTGCTGATTCTCATTTAATGTTTGAAAGTGAAAATCATATCTATCGCCGTCATTTGCGTCTAATGTACCATACAGCCATTTTTGTGCTGTACCCATGAAATTGAATACTCCACGTTTATTTTGTTGTTCGTATGAGAATTGTTGACTAGTTTCAATACTTACTTGTAATAAAGTAACAATTTCGTCTTTATTAGACCATTTGGTTAGATTTAATAGCTATTTATATAACAAGTACATAAAGTAAGGCTTTATTGTACGAATAATTTTATGGCCGAGCGAGCTTGCGAGCGAGGCTATTAAATGATGAGTCAATAAAGCCTGTTTATGTAAGCGTTATATACATGATTTTATGTACGATTACGACCGATTTTCGTTAAAAATTTAAAAAATCTAATGAAAAAAGTAAAATTCGTCTAGGTATACCTTGCCAGGTTGTCAGGACCTGTTTCACCAGTGATTTCAAGCGACGTGTTTTATTTAAATTTAACAATGGCGACGAGGAAAACGAGTATTAGTGCCGTATAAAGAAAAAATGACAATTCCGTAAAAAATAATAAAAAAAAAAACCGAAATCCGCATTCCTTTTAGTGACGACATAGTGAGGGACGGTGACAGGTACGAGCAAGGTCGACCTGAATTGGCTGGAATGGCAACACGGCCGCTACTGAAGTTGACATTTTTGCTGGAGGGAGCAAGCGCCACAAAAAGAAAAAAGAAGCGACATTCACAGAACGCGACATTGACGCAACGTCAAAGGTCAAGTCAATCGGACTTGATTTGTTGTGTTGTTGTTCTTGTTGAGATTTTTAAAGGAGGAAATACAGATTATTACTGGAATATGGCATTAATAGGGGCAATAACAGAATTTAATCACACGATGGACGATTGGAAATTATGGCAAGAAGTTACTTATGGTGGCCTAAGTTTGATGAAGACATCGAGAATCTGATTACAGCATGAATACCGTGCTTGCACCAGAAATCAGAGCCTCCCAAGTCTGAGCTAACTCCATGGACAGCCGAGAAAACCACTTGGAGCAGAGTACACGCAGATTTTCTAGGACCTATTCGGGGAACTATGTTTTTGATTATTGTAGACTCTTATAGTAAATACCCAGAAACGTACCTATCCTATGAAGACAATTATCAGCAGAAGAAAAACTAAGAGACGCATTTTCTAGATTTGGTTGGATTACCAAAAATTTTCGTCACAGATAATGGAACACAATTTGTCTCAGCAAGATTGCAAAATTTTTTCAAATAAAATGACGTAAGACACATCATCTCTCCAGTGGCATTTCCTCAAAGCGACGGACAAGCTGAAAGAACGATCCAAACAATTAAAAGGGCTATGAAAGCTGCACTCGAAGATGACGCAAATAAAAGGAAAAATTTAAACACCTTTAATGTACAGATTTCTTTTTAATTACAGAAATGCAGTGCAGGAGACAACAAAACAATCACCAGCCAGCATAATGTTCGGAAGACAATTAAGAACACGTCTAGATTTGCTGAAACCCCCAGAAAAGTTGCAACCCACACCTATAACAAGAAATATCGAAAAATCCAAAGAAAAACAGAAACAACATTACGGATCGACAAAATTACGAAAATTTAAGTTGGGGAGAGAGTCATGGTTCGAGACTACAGGAAGGTGAACCAAACGCTTTGGGAAGCAGCGAACATAATGAGAAAAATAGGCAAAGCGACTTATTTATGCCAGTTAGAGGGAACCAACTTGATATGAAAAAGACACAATAATAAAATCGTTCACAGAGGTAGAAAACCAGAAGAGAAGGAAGAACTAAATAAACAGAGCAAAATAGAAGTACCATCAGAAGCAGTAATAGCTTACGAGGAAGGCAACCGAAGCTGCAACAACGCAGAGGGTAGTGATGCAGAAAACAAACAGCTGCATGAAAATAGAATGGTGCAGGACAGTGCGTCAGGAAATAACAACCTTGACGAAAACGACAGTTTTCAATCTATAGACAGTGACAATGACGATGAAAATATTGACATTCACAATCATAAGATTCTGATCAAACTAACATTTCCAATCTTTCATCTAGATCTCCACCAGTATTGTCACCACAGATACCAATAAGCACACTTCCACAACGGGTGCCAGTACTGCCAGTCCAGTTTCCGATACCACGGAAACCGACACAAGAACCGACAATTGTACAAGCCACTGCAAGTAACATTCCAGAAAGCTCATCAGCAGAATATCAAGCAAAGCACAACACAAGACGAAGCAACAAGAAAACCGACAAACTTTCTAGAAATTCAGAATCGTGAATTACTTTTTTATCCTTTTTTAAACAAATTGTCATTGGTTTTGGTATTTTAGCGAAGTTTTTTATGAATTTTCGGCAATATCCTATCAATCCTAGTAATGATTTAATTTCTTTCACAGTTTTTGGGATTGGATTTTTTCTTATTGCTTGCGATTTTCTTTAGGTTTGGTTTAATACCATTTGGGATTATTACATATCTCCCCCATGTTAGAGGAAAGGAGAATTATGTATATAATAATAACATAGGGATTTTTAATATAACTTACACAAAAATCTTGTACAGCAAAAAATTGTGGTCAAATACAAAATTAAAATGTGTTTAATTACCATAAAAAAACAATTTACAGCACATCATTTGCATTCACTTAAATTATACATTTCTGTTTGTATAATACTAAAGTCATACAAAAAATATCGAACAATTATTATCAAAAACATTAACACCCTGTAAATCCGAATTGTTATTAGATATCAATTATCTATAGATTCTATTAGAAGTTGTAGTAAATAGAAATATTAAATTATATCACGTAGCTTCTGTGTTGGGTCGATATAGGCTTAAAAACTAAAAGATACAGGAACTATAAGAAATATACAATATTTAAAAAAATAAAATAGAAGCACAATAATATCTGGCATTACTTTTCTGCTCGTCATACAAAAGTAATATAGGTATATATTTTTAATTGTTGCCCCCAGTGCAATTTAATACATGGGACTTTCCCAAAACTAAATTATCATGCTTTTGTCGTGATCATTTGATTTATTTCTTCCAATTCAACATCATTATCGTCTTGTTCTGGCTCTTCGTAAGTGAAGAGCAGCGCATAGATGCCACAACCGAGAACTGCGCCTACATTAGGACCGATCCAATAAATCTAAAAACAAATCACAAAAATTGTAGTATTGGAGGAACTATGTAACATAGTTTAAATATCTTGGTAAGTAAGACTAGGATAGAATAGAGCTGCGATTCTTTTGAATACCTTTCAGAGTTGAGAAAAAAAATCTCATAGAAAGTGAACTCTTTATAAAATGAGGGAGATAATGATAGTGAATTTCGGCCAGGGATGTTACACGAATCCTCAAATCATCCCACTTTAATCTCACTGTAAATGATTGTTTGAGTACATCCCATATCAAAGTTCAGTAAACTGGAGGATCGCAAAAAGCTGAAGATTTTAATTCTTGTTTGTCACTAATCAGGCCTATTCGGGTTTGGAAAAAGGACAGTTCTAGAACGGTTCAAAACAATCGCACAGTTCATCAATCAACAAAATGACAACGACTGGGCTATCACAAATTTCAATAATAAACTGTGCGATTCTTTTGGACCATTCTAGGACCGTACTTTTTCCAAACCCGAATAGGCCCATCGAGTCATAAGCACAGTAATTTTATTATTTACTTACCCACTGATTAGTGAAATCATACTCCAAAACAGCTGGAGCAAAAGACCGAGCGGTATTCATGCTGGCGCCAGTTATTGGTCCCTATTTTTTTTATAGAAAAAGAAATAACATTAAAACCCTTTATGTGAATTTAAATGATGAACACAAGTTACTTACTGCAACCATAGAAATAGCGGCAACAATCAACCCAAATCTAGCAGGAGTCGAATCCTGTTTAGCTTCATTCCTTTTATCCCACACTCCGCAACACACTAGGATAAGCACACAAGTGATTATCGATTCTATAGCTAAAGCTTGCATCGGGGTGGATTGTTCGTGAGGTTTGGTGGCACAGAATCCAGGAACAACCCATTCTTGAGGCATCAATACCTACGAAGATTAGTTTTGTTATGTCAATTATAAGTATAGTGTCAAACTTCATGTGTGATTTGATCATTGGGTGTGAGAAGTGCAATTTAAGAGATATAAAGTTATAATCTTCCAAATTATCAGTTGCCTTTTGAAACCTTTCAGAGTATATGTATTAAAAAATTTAGAGATTTTAGTTGACCGAGAATTTATCTTTATAAACTTAACTCTCAACTGTAAAAGTTCACTACCTATTACCTTAATACTTCAAGTTTGCCTCCCTTCTAGATCTTGCTAGATTATGCAATACAAGTGATTGTGCTCTGTTGAGATAAAAAGTTTCCAGTTTATAGTTCTCATCAGTGCTTCACACCAAATGATCCATATTTATGATTATATGCTACTTACTCGTAATAAGGCAAATCCAAAAATAGCACCAATAAACTGAGCGGCAATATACACGGCCCCCATTGCCGGTGATAGCATTCTGAATATCACAGTACTGATTGTTACGGCAGGATTGAGATGGGCCCCTGAAATGTGGCCGAAAGTCTAAAAAAAAAACATGTAAAATTTAAATAAACCCACATGAATTCAAAGGTGTAATTATTTGAAGTGTATTGTGCAATCGTTTCAAGAAAAATCAATTATATTGATTTGTCAATACTAATCAATAATTCACAATCAAAAATGCTTGAACTTAAATAATACTATCGAGCATTTGGAAGTAATTAGCTCATGAACCCTTTTTTTGATAGGACATTTTAAATTTTTACCTGAATAATAAGCAAAACAACCAAACCAAAGGAAAAAGATGACATGTGATGTACTGCAGGTGGATTATCAGCTTGGGGTGCGCATCCCATACAGCCTAGGAACATGAGCAGAGCTGTACCGATTAGTTCGGCCATGAAGTTGGTGAAGTATTGCTTTTTTGTGTCCCCTGAAATAAATAAAATGAAGCTGTATTATCAGTAAAGCTTGTTTTTTTTTTAAAGATAATTCCCCAAGTCAAAAATTTAGTAACTATGTTGGCAACACAAGCCTTTTCTATATAAAAAATTTGAAGCATTGACAATTTTACATTGTATTGCCAACATATTGTCATTTTGACTTTTATCTTTAAAAAAAAAACAGACTTTAGGTTTTTTAGAAGTGATGCAAATTTTACAGTTGATAAAACTGATAAAGGTACCTCAGTTATTTAGAGATAAGTAAAGGTACCTCAGTTATTTAGAGAAAAGTAATCAAAACTCTCTTAACAATGAGAGAGTGGAAATGAAAATAATATACCTAGTTATTGCTATAGACATTACGATTTTTGTATTTTGAAAAGAAGTCTGACTGTGACGGAACTAGCTTTTTTCCCTTATTGGGCTTTAGTCAAACCGCACCAGGGATGCCAAAAGTTTTTACTTTGACTGACTGTAAATATTAACCACTAGGTATTGGATCATTTAAGCCTTGTATTGGGTTAGTGGTGCCATGATTCTCATTTATACAAATAAAACATTGAAATAGAAAAATTATCAATTTAATTAATTAATGAAAGTAATTCGGTATAGATCAATCAAATCCTATCTAAAAATTCCTAATTGGATTTATAGTTGAACTACAAATTTTATACTAATCTAAAGTAAGTAAGTATCTTGATTTATAAAAGGTAGGGAAATCTGATAATGATAATAATCTCATTTATGGTTAAATGTTAAAGTGAACGAAAACACAAATTAACTAATTAAATGTACGAGAGCACAACATAAATAATTCGTCAACTTTAATCAGTTCACTGTACACATCACAAAATGTTTATTGATCCTTGAAAGTTCTTTTATTTATTGAGAGTTAACAATTTGAGCACTTTTCTGCGTAAACGATATGTGCAAGAAAAGTCTTTATATATGCTCAGTTTCTATATACAATGTGCAAATCTTAATTTCACGAGTGTGAAACCAAATTTCTGCATTGAACGTTAGAAGACACTTCAAATTATAGTGCATTCCAAGCGAATCACTAATCTGTATTTACCGTTTGACTGTTAAAGAAATTGTAACGGTCTTACTTGCTTAATCCGGTTCATGCAGATAAATCCACATTTATCACTATTTACACTGGCAGCCAGGGAATTTTCCACTGAGATGAAAACACAACGATATACACGGGCGTTGGAGCCTGGCGAGAGTGAGAGAGAGAGAGAGAGCTAAAAAAACAGGCGCTTACGAGAGAATTTTGCTCTTCCGAGGTGACTTGCAATATTTAGGGGGTTAATTACATGAATTGTAATCAATAATATAGACTATATGTCAGGCCTTGAGACACAGAGAGTAGTATTTTACTATAAATCGCGCGTACTAACGGGGGTTTTGCTTCTGGGGAGCATCAGAGGGCGCGAACTCATCGCTTATTCTAATAGTACTGAAGAATGTCCGTCGACTAGCTCTGCCAAGGAACAGGTCGGCCAGGTCGCAAAAACTAGGAAACAATGTGGCGGCTGACCAATCACAGCGGCGAGAAAGGTCCACTACCTTATAAGGTAAAGAAGAAACCTGCAATTTTATTGGTTGTTATTGCGGGTTTTACAGGATAAATAGTCCAGCAATAGCATCTATTTTTAGAATATTATTTTTATGGTAGATAATAGAGAAGAAAACTATATTAAATTAGAAATAATAAAAATTAAACCTGTTGTGGGTTATTTCCGCAACATATTCCCCCCCTTGAAGTTTCCAAACTTCAATGAGAGACGAAACATGCCAGGGAGCAGGTCGCAAAAACTAGGAAACAATGTGGCGGCTGACCAATCACAGCGGCGAGAAAGGTCCACTACCTTATAAGGTAATGAAGAAACCTGCAATTTTATTGGTTCAAAGGGTTGTTATTGCCGGTTTTACAGGATAAATAGTCCAGCAATAGCATCTATTTCTAGAATACTATTTTTATGGTAAATATTAAAGAAGAAAATTATAATAAATTAAAAATAATAAAAATTAAATCTGTTTGGGGGTTATTTCCGCAACAACTGACATTGATATTGATCACCTTACAATCCGGCCTAGATTTAACTTCACTTGTCCTTAAAAAATTTAACACTTACGTATTTCATATACATAAAAAGTGAAGTTCAATGCAACAGTGTGTAAATAATATGTATCCGAGAAAAAGCTGTAGTGTGGATCAAGTTGGCATAACAAGTTATAGTTATTAAAATTGTTAAAATTGATCATTAATATGGGAAATTTTATTCAAAAACATTTCCGATAATAAAATAATTTTATAAAACCCAAACATTACAAGGTCCATTTTTAATCAAAATCGCAATTTAAATTGGTTTAATCGTAAATGGAAGATGCATGTTTTTGTTTCTGATAATTATTGATATCTCAATAATGTGAAAATCCATTTTTACAATATTTTGGGCCACTGATGACGTAATTTAGTATGGCGTTTGAGTGAAAAAGTTAATTATTTCAATTTCAATCAAAAACAAGAATGAAACAAAAATGTGTTCTAGGAGAAGTATATTAATAAAGAATGAGAAAAATAGAAGAGGATCTAAAAGTTAAATTAACTGGACATTTTGTTTAGGTCCGTTATGAGGCTACATATCCACCTAGATTTCTTTGTAAATTTCTCGATATTCAAATAAAATACATTAATAAAAAAATGCCCTTACATAAATCCAATTTTTTTTTAACCGTGTCCCAAATCATAATTTAAATAATTATTATAGGGTAACAAAAATCTTAATTCAGCACGTTACTTTTAAATTTGTATCACTCTGTACTTCCTCTTGTACATAAGCATCAATACTGATTTTGAGGCATCTTCTTCAAAAAAATATAAATGGAAAAAACCCAAATGGTCGAAAAATAAGGGGTTTTGACCTTTCTAGGAAGATAAGTTTGTTTGCAGTAGTGGTCAACGGATAAAAGGGTAGTAAAATCTATTAGGGGCTGATTTATAGTTGTCCCAATGTTGGATATGCAATTTCCCAATTAGTACCTTAGTTTAAAAAAATAATAATCCTAAATGGTAACTTATCAGAAATAATAGATCGCTTATTTCACAGTGAAAAAATTACATAATAAAAATTAAATTTATAAAAAAATAACTAAACTCACCCATGATAAAATTATTCGAAAAATCACTTCACCTTCCCAAGTAAGCTAGGCCAATGTCGACACCAAAGTGTTTCTTTATCGAAAATTGCACACAAGTGGAAAAAAATCCCGATAAACGAAAAAAATGTACATAATAATATATTACTTATCTAGAAACAGTCACTCTTGAAAATAGTTACAAGTAGAAGAGCAAATATTGAGCGACATAATTCTCCTTTACCCAATTTTATGTTTGAGAAGTGATTTAGAGTAAACTATTGTAATGAATTATTGCTCTCTGAATACATATTAACAAATACCTGCCAAGTATTAAATATTTGTACTCTACATAAATTTGTTATTATTATTATCAGGTGGACCAAATTTGTAAGTGAATTTATTTTAACTCTAGTTCCACAATGATTAGGAGAATAAAAATTTCTCTCTCTTCAAATTGTTGGTAGCCACCGCTAGATACTATAACAGAATGAACAAAAATAAAATTTTGCTCCAATAATAATATGTCAAAAACTTTAAGTGACCCACTGTGTAAGAGTCCTCTAAGATTTTTATCCAATTAATGAGTATTTATCTAAACAAAAGGTTAAAAGCTAGGGTTATTAAATCATTTACCCACAAGTAAGCTTTGGGACTTTATCACTTTGACAAAAGATAAGGAGATTAAACTTTATTTTGCTAGTAGCAAAAGGGAACAATGATCAATTGAACTGACATTAAATTAAAACAGAAATAGATAACCACTATTCTCTCTATTTAAAACTAAACCCAATACAGATGTCCCAAAAATAGGTAAAAACAACCTGAACTAACTTTTAATTGAACAGACCTTAGAAGTTAATAACAGATCAATCATTTCTCGAATGATCTAACGATGTCTAGTAGTCTCTCAGTAAAAATGTCTTAGAGAATCCCTAATGGATGGTTGGGTGCTAGACATTCAACCAAAGCTCTGTTCTCACAGAAATCACAAACCAGTCAGATTGATTGATTGGTGCAAGTCGGCAACAACCAGTTTTCTAACTATTTTCAACCAATGAAATTCGATCTGACTGGTTTGTGACTTCAGTGAGAACAGACCTGGGAGCCTTTTCACTTACCAAATTATTATATTGTCTCAAATTACTGTAGAGAAACTTCAAATGGGTATAAAGGTACAATTATTTAAATAAAAAAGTCTTTCTCTTTAACCTTCCATATGGAAAACGTTGATAGGTATGACTTCTTACGTTTGGAAAAAGAATTTGAATTTTCAATTGTATTTAACAAAAAACACAATTTGTATCTAATCTGTGTATATAGACTTCCAAGAACAAATACTACCGGTTTTTTAGTGAACTTAGAAACAATTTTATTGGATTTCCGGTTACGTGTAGGGTCATATTATCTGGCGATCTCAATATTAACTTTATTAATAACCAATCAGCAGCTATACTCTAGCATTAAAAAACTTGCTTCACTCTTATGGTCTGTCCATGTATGGAAATTCTCCTACCAGAGTGGCTGAAGAATCCGCTACTGTAATTGATTATTTCTGTACCAATTTGGTTAAAAACAAAGTTAAATGTGACGTAGTTTCCACCCCTGGACTGTCAGACCATGAGGCCTTGTTGGCCAACTGCTCACTACTTTCTACAAAAGAAAAAATACCCCAAAGATATGGGAGAGTTTATTCAGGTGAGAACTTTGGAAAATTTAGTACTAGTTGTTCCTTGGCGGACTGGGAGTGTGTACTTACTTCTGAGCAACCACTGGAAATGTTCCATATAATCTTGCATACTATGTTCACCAGAAGCTTTCCATTGCGCAGTATGAGAGCAAAAAAGCCAAAAAAAAACTGGATAACGAAAGGTATTAAAACTTCCTCAATTTACTTTAGATCCTTACATTCTATTAAAAAATTTAATAATAATCAATATTTTATAAATTATTATAGTAACTATCGGAAAATTTATAAAAAAATTATCAAAGCAGCAAAACTACAATATTATCAGAATAGAATGTCCAATGCAATAAACGAGATGTCTGTCAAAATATTTCATAACCTAAACAACGATATTCTGTTCTGATAAACTGGCTCCATCAAAGATCCAGCTAACTTCAGAACTATTTCACTCTCAAATACCCCTCGAAATACCCTGTCAAAAATAGTGGAAAAAATGGTGAAAAATAGACTGATTGAGTTTCTATCACGTAACAATATAATTAGCGATGGGCAGTTCGGATTTCAGTCATCCAAAAGCACTAGTGATGCTGTCTTTTGCTTTCTAGAGCAACTATATTTGAAACTGAACGATAGAGAGGTTGCAGCTGCAGTTTTTTGCGACCTCTCTGAAGCATTCGATTGTGTAAGACCTGACATACAGAAAAATGTACATTTATGAAATTCGGGACACGTCATTGAATTTCTTTAATTCTTATATGTCTAAAAGAACCCAAATGGTTAAAAATAATAATTCCATATTATCATCCCTAACAATTGACACAAGAGTTCCACAAGGTTCTGTCCTAGGACCTATCGTTTTTTAAATTGCCACTTAAATGTATGTTTACTGGTTTTGCAGATGATATTACACCTCTTTGACAACACCATAAAGGCCCACAGATCTTGAAAGAAATGGTCTCTAATGACCTCCATCAAATAAAAGCATGGTGTGATTCAAATTTTCTAAGTTTTAATACTGAAAAAACCAAAGTACTTAGTTTTAAATTTACATTTGACAATCTGCAACTTGGAAATCAGTCAATAGGTCTCAGTGAGGATATTAAATTTCTTGGAATTAATATTGACTGCAACTTGAAATTTTTTCAACACATAATAAATTTAAATAAAAAAATAGCAGCGGGAGGTTATGCCGTACGCCAAACTTGTTATGAATTGGGTCAGTCTATGGCTAAAACTACTTATTTTGCTCTTGTTGAGTCCCACTTGCGTTACGGACTCCCTTTTTGGGGGAACTGCAGTCAGTATCTGTTCCAGTCAGTATTTACCCTTCAGAAGCGTTGTGTTAGATATATTTTTGGGGCAGGTCTCAGGGATCATTGCCGACCATTATTTCAAAGGGGAAACATGTTAACCTTGGTGGATATCTTTATCTTAGACTGTTTGCCTGGTTCACAAGAGGTACCAGGGCTGGGACTATGGAACGGATAAAGATATGTTCTCTATCTCTATTGATGTCTCCTCTCTATTGATTTTGACAAGAAAGAAGAAGACAGCAAGTGCCATAGCGATAGGGATAACGATCTCTATCCGTTACAGAGTTCCAGCCCAGGGTACTACACAAGTGGATGGATATTACTATATCCAACGAGGAACTATAACCTGATACCTTTGTCCATACCAAGATTCTCACTTACACAAAATTCTCTCATTTATAGAAGTTTAGAAATGTACAATAAGCTACCATTAAATTTAAGAACAGACCAAAGTTATAAATCTTTTAGAAATAGTCAAACGCTTATTGGCCGATAGAGCATATTATTCTCTTGACGGATATTTTAATGACAACCTTTAACAGGTTCCTATAACTGGATATACCTACTTGTATTATTATTGGTGCCTGTGTCGTGATTTTAGTGTCTAAAGTTCAACTGTATGTTGTACCAAGTCAATAATTTTTGAATGTTTATGAATTAACGTAGTTTTTATCTTTGCAACTTTTGATCATCATCACTCAGTGAATTTTTCCTCAGAAACCTCAGTAGCCGAGTCCATTTTATAGCGCGTCGTTGCTTTTGGAATTGTCTAGATAATTCGCTAAATTGGTTTCGAATTCACTAGACTATTACGACAGTAAAATTTCTTTCACGAGTTTTCCAGTCATCATGCAGTATTGCAAGATTGTGCCTAATTTCCTCAACTAGAGAGATTATTAATAGTGCATAACATTGTGGATTACAATTGATAATTAATATTTTATCACTATGTAAACAGTCTACTGATTAAGTACCATTAGTAAAATGTGATCCCACACATATTAATAATATTTACCAACTAAAGTTTATAATTAGGACACCTTAATGATTTCATTATAACTATAATAGTAATGATTGAAGCATATCAACTTTTCCTAATTTCCTCTAGGTAAGTAAATAGTAGGTACAGATTTTTTTCTAATACTAGTATCTGATTCAAATCCTGTCGTTCTCACCATTCATGTTATTTTTTTTTTAATTGAAGGAGAATTAATTTAACATATTTTTTTTTTTAAATTTCTTTGGTTTCCTACTCCTCTTAGGTTTTTTATCAGAAATATTTATTCTGATATGTCTATTTGACATTTGTAATATCATTCATCTCTTCTAAAATTTCATATGGGCAACTCAATTTATATAACAAAAAAAAAACAAAAAAATAAAACATATTCAATCCAAACCTAATGGTGAAGAGCTGCAACCTACGTGTCTAAATGTACAGGGTGTCCAAGATTCGATGGTTTTAGCGGGTTTCGGGTACCACTTGCGAGCCTCGATTTTCAAGAGAAGTTGACCGGTGAAACCCGCATCTCGATGTCTCGATTCGTTTTTAAGCTACAAGGGGAAAAGTTGAGCAAATTTTCATAAATAAAAAAGTTATAGCCCCCCTGCCAAACTCCAAACTTTTCAAAAACCCCTGGTAACTTAAAAACTACTCGACATATCAAGATGCGGTTTTCACCAGTCAATTTCTCCGATTTCTCTTGAAAATCGAGGCTCGCAAGTGGAGGTCAGATTTTTTCCAACTCCTTTAGAAATACTCGAAACCCCCCAAAACCATCGAATCTTGGAAACCCTGTACAACCTGAATAATTTCAGAATTTTATTTGAAACATCACACTAGTTCAATGGTGCCTCTATGACCTTTATTCCCATAGACTTATAAACCTACTAATCTTTATAAAGGCCATGAAGTTCTAGTCAATCAAGATGCTTAATTTTTCTTCAATATCCAATTATAGCACAAAAAACTTGGACAACAATCAATGGTTTCTGGATTAAATTGGGTTAAACAAACGTTGAGAAACAAGCAAAAATGTATTTCGAATGGAATCCTCGGATAAGTGCAATACGTCATTGGTTTTGAGACAGAAGCTTATAGAATCTAAAATAGAAAATAGGAGTCCGTATTCAAAAAAATTAAGTTGATGATGGTGGCCCAAAGACCAAACGTCAAATTTTAAAATGTCATCTTTTAGAGTAGGAAAAGTAGTAACGATGAAATGATTCCATCCTTTTCTTGGAGATACATGACCAATGGCTTGGGGATGTTTGTGAAAAGACTGACCCTATCCAAAGATAAAAGAACGTAGTTATCAGGTATGCGCTCTTGTTTGACTAGCTCAATAAAATGAAAGGACTCTTTTACATTAAATTGGAAAATTAAAGTATTATTTATTTCAGCAAGTAAGTTATATTTATCTCAGCAAAGAAATTTAAACAACTTCTTGACATAAACTGAAGATACATTAGAACAGTCGTCAGACTGCTCACTGGGCATTGCCTAATGAAATATCACCTAAAAACAATATACAACTC